TTTCCAGATACCAATGGTCGGCTCAGATGTCTGCGGTTTCGGCGGGAATACGACCGAAGAGCTCTGCGCGCGGTGGGCAATGCTAGGAGGATTTTACCCTTTTTTCCGCAATCATAATAGCATTGATTCGATTCCGCAGGAGTTTTATCGGTGGGCTGTTGTGGCTGAGGCGGCGAGGAAGATTATTGATATTCGGTATCGATTGCTGGATTATCTTTATACGGCTTTTCATCGACAGAGTGAGACTGGTGAGCCGTTTCTTCAGCCGTTGTTTTATTTGTATCCCGGAGATACGAAGACGTTCGGGAATGAATTGCAGTTCTTTTATGGTGATGCGATTCTTGTTTCGCCGGTTGTTGAGGCGGGGAGTACGAGTGTCGAGGCATATTTCCCAGATGATCGGTTCTATGACTGGTTTACGGGGAAGATTGTGCAAGGGAATGAAGAGAAGGTTAAGCTAGAGTCTGTTTCGATCACGGATATCCCGATCCACATCCGCGGGGGCAGTATTATTCCGTTGCGGAGTAAGAGTGCCATGACCACGACAGAGTTGCGGCGTCGTGGGTTTGAGATCCTCGTTGCGCCGAATGCGAGCGGGTATGCACGCGGCGAGTTGTATCTTGATGATGGGGAGACTCTGGTGCCGGGGAGTACCTCGCTGGTGCAGTTTGAGTTTGTCAAGGACAAGTTAAGTATTCGGGGTCAGTTTGGGTATCAGGCTGGGGTTGTGATTGAGTCTGTTACGGTGCTGGGGCAGAAGGGTCTGTCGAAGCGCAGTGCCGGCACGAATCAGACGGACGGGGCAGTGCAGTTTGATGAAGAGAAGGGGAGTGTGACCAAGAAGGTCACGATTGAGTTGAATGGGCCTGTGGAGGTGGTGATTTAGCGCTTAGGTGGGAGTGCGAGTGCGAGTGTGAGTGCGACCGGAGGATTTCGATAGGACCGGGCGGAGTTGAGCATGTCTTACTCAGGTCTTAGCCCGAGGGGGGTTAGCCCGAGCAAAAATAGGATATCTACGGCACCTGACACCAATATTTTTCGGAGTATCCGTGGGAGTGAGTCAAAGTAACTGGCACTCCATATCCGTAGTTACTCCGTTCTCGTAGACTCCGACTCTGTTAGAATAACCTTGGATCAAGGATTTCATCCTTGACGGGCCCAACCCGCCCCAACCCCCCCCGCCCCAGTCTCAAGCGCCCCCTGCCCCGGACCCATAAGCACCCTGGGAGACTGTGTACTGTATTACTGGATGTGTCCATTCAGTTCCTGCGTCAAAGGATGCCCAATGCGGCCCGCAAGGGGCTCAATTAATATAAATCAAATGACAAAGTACGGTGTACGGAGTACGGAGTACTACATGACCCTTGGCAAATCTCAGATACTGGGGATAGTACGGGGTATGCATAATCTATTGGCTGTGTGTAGAGGGGTATGATACACCTGTTCCTGGTTCCTGAGTTAGACAGAGACAAAGTTAGACCGAGTTAGACATGTCTGGGTTACATGGTGGTGCTCAGGCACTCTTGGACTTAATTTAGCTCGGGCCGAGAGAGGAGGCAATTAGAAGCGAGGCACATACGAAGGCAAACCATGATTTCATTTGATTTGAATTTGATGTGATTTGATTTTCAGGATTTTCAGGGACTGTTGTTCGTGTTCATTATGTGGGTACGAGTAAGTACGAGTATACTGTAGACTACGCAGGTTGATGTGGGTGGTGCGTAATGTCCTATACAAACTTCGCAGGGATGTACATCCTCCTCCACCGCCAATGTCACGATCGCGCAGTGACTGTCACAGGATTAGATCGGACCTGCCCCCGTGGAGGCCGAGTGGATCCTCGACTAGTGGCCTCTCGCTTGCATTGGCGAACGATGGGCCGTGTTGCGCCCCACGGGAGAGTCGGGTCGTGGGTGACTCCGGTCAAAGAGTATTTCTGTGACAGGATCGGCCGGGATGATCACTGGGCAGTCGATCGGGTGGTTTCAGGAGAGGAGGGAGAGGGAGATTACGAGTATACAGAGAGAGAGGACGGAGTACTCTGTACAGTATGCTCTGGATATACTAAATGCGGTGGTATCCAGAGTATCCGAGTATCCAGACAAAGAATACGGAGAAAACCGTATCCTCGTAGCTATAAATGGACTATCTAAGGTATGGCTCTGCTAGTGTGCGTGCCACTGCCACTGCCACAAGGCCCCCAGGTACAGAATCATCCGTGTCTCACTAGCAGCAGCCTTTGTCCAGTCAGGGTTACCCCAGCAGCTCATCAGGCGGCTCCACTGCGTCCTTTGCATCCACTGCATCCACGCCTCCACTTGATTCCTCTTGATCTCTGAGTGGGTGCTCCCTCGCCGAGCACCAATCAATGATTCACTTCGGTGGCTGGGACTACCAATATTGCTCCACTTGGTCCAAAAAGTGAATACGGAGACACTACAGACTGCTCAACTGAAGGCTGAACAGCACCTTCCCATATCCGCGGCTCTCACTTCCTGCATTTCTTTATTAACCCCAACCTCCCCCCCTCCACCCTCCACCTTCTTCCTCCTCATTCCTCTCTCGCATCTGCATCGGCATTCGCACTCGTTCGGTCTGCTCTTTACACCCTCGCTTACTGTTCACTGCTTCACTGCACACTGTCGCTATGCCTTCCATCTTCAAGTACGCCGCTGTGGCTCTCGCCGCAGCCGCTCCCCTGGCTTCTGCGCAGACCTACTCCAATTGCAACCCTCTCAAGAAGACCTGCCCTGCCAATCCTGGTTTGGCCCAGGCTGATGCCGACTTTGACTTCACCAAGGGCTCTCTCGACAAGTGGACCACCACTGCCGGCAAGGTCAACACCGGCTCCGATGGTGCTGAGTTCACTATCAACAAGCAGGGCGATGCGCCCACTATCCAGTCCGACTTCTACTTCTTCTACGGTACCGTTGAGGTCACCATGAAGGCCGCCCCCGGCACAGGAATTGTTAGTTCCATTGTCCTGGAGTCCGATACTCTTGATGAGGTCGACTGGGTAAGTTCAGCAGATACATCTCCCATAACTCAATTGACCCGATCTAACATCTTCTATAGGAGGCTCTTGGCGGCAATGCCGGCGCTATTGAAACCAACTACTTCGGCAAGGGGGATACCTCGAGCTATGACCGTGATACCTGGCCCGCTGTGTCCAACCCTCAGGGTGAATTCCACACCTACAAGGTGGACTGGCAGAAGGACCACATCACCTGGTACATTGATGGTGCTTCCGTCCGTACCTTGAACTACAACGATGCTCAGGGCGGTGCTCGCTTCCCCCAGACCCCCATGAACATCCGCATCGGTGTCTGGGCTGGTGGTGACCCTAACAACGGAGAGGGCACCATTGAGTGGGCCGGTGGTAAGACCGACTACTCTGCTGCTCCCTTCTCCATGTACATCAAGGATGTCAAGGTTCACAACGCCAACCCCGCCAAGTCGTACACATACACCGACAACTCTGGCTCATCCGACTCCATCAAGGAGGGCGGTGCTGTTTCGGGCTCTCAGACCCGTGACACTACCACCACCTCTTCCTCCAGCACCTCGGAGGCTACCACCGCCGCCACTAGCGATGCGACCACCACCGCCAGCGATGCGACCACCACTGCCACTACCCTGACCACTGCCACCAAGTCCTCCTCGGCTGACTCTACCACTACCACCGCTAAATCTACCACCGCCAGCTCCTCCAATGCCGCCGGCTCTTCCTCTGCTGGTAGCTCTTCCGCTGCTGGCAGCTCGGGCGCTGGCTCCAGCTCCAGCGGTGCTAGCAGCACTGCCGGCTCCGGCTCCGGCTCTGGTTCCAGCTCTGGCTCTGGTTCCGGCTCCGGCTCTGGCTCGGGTTCTGGCTCCGCCACTGGCAGCGCTACCACCCCCACCTCGACCTTCAACGCTGCCTCCAACGTGGCTGCCAGCATGGGTCCCCTCGGCCTCTTGGCCCTGCTCTCTGCTTTTATCCAGCTGTAAACAGCTTCACGCTACTCAACGCAACGCAAATATTAATCACGTCTCACGGATAAAGCACGCTGGGCTGGAACCGAGCTTGGATATGAGGGATGGCGCTTTCTTTTTTCTTTCTGTGATGTATCTTTCTTCGGTTATGCCTTGATGTCTTTTTGCTTTAGCCTTGCGAAGAGCGGTATTGGCGCCGAGTGATTTTACCATGTATCTATGTACCTACAACTAGATTATCTAATTGATTCCTCTCGGGACCCTATGGACAAACAATCAGCCGTGCACAGTGGACAGTAGACATCAGACTATTGTGCACAAAGTAAGCAGTAAGCAGCAGGCAGTAAGCATTCAGTCAGCCGACCACCGCAGACTGGCTGCATCATTTAGTATGTCTGACGCAAGGATCTCACTCAGCCGCATCAGATGCCCCATATGTACCTATGTTATGCAAATCGCCCAATCCAACCCCGTATCTGCAATACGCTGCACGGCTCGGTAAACAAAGCCGAAAAAGCAATTTGACGAGTACAAAGCATATTAGGAAACGGAGTACGGGTTACAGCATGTGCATAATCGTGTGATAGCGAAGTTAAAGCAGCAAGCACTTAGTGTACATTCTATTTGCATGTACATGCATGTCCCATATGTAATCATTGATACCGTACTAGTACAGTATGTATTTATGTTGTAGCTATAGTTCGTCACTGTAGACCAGTTGACTTCCTTCACCGATTCAGAATCCCAATTTTTGGATGATAATCAGCAGTTAAGAATCGAGCTATTTTTTTGACTTTGATAATCCATCCAAATGGAATTAAAATTCGAATTCTGTAGCCTGATTCCGTTACAATTTCTCTTTCTACGGAGTTCTCCATAAGTAATTTGAACTCAACCATGGACTCTGCGCATTCTCCACACCTAGCTGGCCCTCCTACTACCATGTATTCCAACAAATTCATGGAAACCGTTGGAAAGAAAACCGGATGAAATCAATTAATTCAAGTGGATATTTCGGCCGACCCAACTTATACAATATTCTTGGATTTCATTCTTTTTGTAGTGCCATTGGCTGGGGTGGATACATGTAGCTGTGTTCCGTGGTTGAGAGCCGGAGGTGTGGCCCGGTTGGTGGGTTCTAAGAAAAGAATAGAACCGAAAAGAGAAAACGTGGAACTTACCATTCTCGGGTTCTAGACAACTCTTCTTGTTGTCTGTGTCTGGGCAGGGAGTTGGCGTGTCATTGAGCCGTGGGAATGGTGTGTTTATGAGCTTTTGTAAGGTTTGCACGCATCGCTTAGTTGGAAGTATACGGATGAGATATTTCGCCGGCTTGGCGAGTATCAATTCGATTTGCATACTGTAGACTGTATCTCCTCTATAGTGAAATCGAATTGTAGTTATTCATTCTTTAGTCTGGTGGGGGTTCTAAGATAAAAAAGACAAAAAAGGGAATACTAGCATTCTTCTGTGCGCTTGGGCATGATATTTTGTCACATCAAAAGGGGATTGAGCTAGCAGATAGGAACACCTGGGCAGTGAGCTGTTTATAAGGTGATCACTTAGTTAGAAGCAGATGGATCACGAGATCTTTTGCTGGCTCAGCGAGTATGAATAAATTCTATTACCGACTCGGAGGGATACATTACATACTGTATGTCCTTCATAGTGAACTTGAATTGTAGTTATTCATTCTGTTTGTACGTTAGATCAGTCGGTCCCGTTTGGGCCTCATTGAATTATGATTCAATCCCTGTTGACTCAAGATCGTCAGAGATGCAGCTTTAAGTACTTCTGTCTCGCCATTGCACAAGCTGTACAAGTGTAACAGTTCACTGTACTCCGTAAGGAGGAACAGTGTTATGTACTTTATGTACAAAGTACAGCCCGCCACCCCCTGAGAAACAATCCCTACCTTACCCCGTACTCAGTACTACACATCTCACCTCAGGGGTTTCGACCCTGGTTCAGATCGAGATCCCTGTCCTTTGTTCTGGCCACTGTCGATCTCTCGAATTCGGTGGCAAAACATCATGCGTAATCATCGCCGATCACTTAGTGTCAATCATAATGGACCCAGGTGGACCCTCTCGCACGTTGCAAGTCCCTTAGCTGTCGTGATAATTTCTCCACCGAATCAGCAACAGGGACATGATGTGTCGCCGCTAATCTCATCATCGCCAAGGTCGTAGCAGGCCCAGGCATATCTTCCCCTTCCTCCTCCCCCGCTTCGCCAGCTGTTGCTTCTGATGCTGATGCTTCTGAACCCGTCGATCCCGACCCCGATCCCCCAAACAGCTTCGTCCCAAACGTGTACCTCGATAACGAGTGCAAAACAGACTGAAATCCACCCAGCCCATCACCTCCAGTCCCACCCCCAACAAGCGAGTCCAACGAAGCCCTCCTCGTCTCGCGCGAGATAATCCCATCAACCGCCGTGAGATGGTCATCTAGGGTACCAAACCGCGTAGCCAACCCTTCGGTTTTGCCGTGGATCTGCGAACGCAATCGATCAAGATACTCCGCGCGACGACGGAGCTGCGCCGCGAGCCTGGTATCGCGGGCGATGGAAGTGCCCGTCGACTCCTTTGTCGGGGGTGAGGCGAGGAGGGAATCGATTGCCGAGCGGAGATCTGCGCGGAGCGAGTCGAATTCCCACACTGCGGTGCGGAGGGCCGAGTTGCCTCCTTGGAATTCGAGGGCGAGGGCGTGTCGGGCGGAGGGGAAGGTGGTTTGTAAGGTTGATTGGAGGGATTGGAGTTTTGATTCGCTTTCTTTGAGGATGGGCGCGAGTGGGAGAAGGGTTGCGAGGGAGCTGGTGAAGATTGATTCTAGGTGGGTTTGGGCGGCGAAGATTGTTTCTTCTGGTGTGATGGGTTTGTTGTTGTTATTGTTGGTGGTGGGGTTGAGGGAGGGATGTCTGGGGTCAAGTTGGACGCAGCTGGAAGGGTACAGGCTTTTGATGCCGGGGATGCTGCATAGTTCTTGCATTGAGTGGATGATTTCGGGGGAGAAATAGAATGTGAAATATGGCGGCGAGGAGGAAGGCGTTGATGATGTTGCGGAGGGTGGTTCGTTGGCTGAGGGAGTCGATGAACCTTGATAGAGGTCCTTGCTTGGTGTTTTGTTCTGCTTCTGAAGTAGATGAGCCTGCATCGGGACTTCTGGTAGATTCGGGGGTTTCCGTGATCTTGCGCCGCTTCCGCATGCCTGTGCCTTTGTCAACAGCTTGTTTAGCTGCAGTGGCAGTGGCCGATCGCATATTTGGGGCCACCCATGATGCCTCGGAGATGGGTGCTTCGTAGATGGAAGGCATGATAAGCTCTGGGCCCGACGTGCTGATCCATGACGAGGACGAGGACACAAGTGATTCGGAAGACTGCGATAGTTTATCGTTTGGTTTCTGCTTCTGTTTCGATTCCTTGTGTTGTTCCTCGTTGGATGTCCCGCTGTTGCTATTTCGTACAGATCTCGGTGTCGGAGTCGGGCTGGCTAGCTCTAGTCTATCGTGATCTGCCTGTTTCTCCTGCACATTTTCAAGTACATCTCCTTCCCTGATGGAGGCAGTCGATGCCATCACCCAGGATTCACCCAGGGCCGAGCGATCTGGGGTACGCGGTGGTTTTGTTGACATGACGTCGATAGCATATCCGTTTGAAGAAAAAAGCGGTCCAACTCCTCGTAATGTCGTAACTCGTAAACAATAAGCAATAGACACTCAAAAAAATAAGTCGGTATGCAGCACGAAATCACCAGGACTCGATGCGATCGAAAAGAGGGGTGGTATACATGTGCAACACCGGCGCTTAGCATTGATGCAAAGCGGTGGAGGAGCGAAGGGCGGAAGGTGGAGGTCGATCGGCAAAAATGGGCAGCAACAACAGGAAGAGCAAAAGCAGCAGCTCCTCCGGTCATCCGCCATCAAACAATGCGCCTGGTCACGCGGTTTCGACCGCAGCTTTGCGCCAGACCACTCGTCTATAGTCGCTTGCAAAGGCCTGTCACTGTCGCTGTCCGATCACAATGGCTGTCTACAACGGCCATTCGGCGTTGTTCATGCGCTGATGCCGCCAATGGTAAACCCGAAGCTGCTCTCCCAGCCCACGACCACCGAACTCTAGGCACAAGCCAGGAGCTGTTCACCTCGTCCATTTACAGTCCCGGATCACCTCTCTTCCTTCCGAATGGAACCCACGTTATCAACAAGCTCATCTCTTTCCTCCGCGCCCAATACATGCAGTATGGCTTCCGCGAAGTCCTCACCCCGACTATCTACAAACGTTCTTTATGGGAGATCTCCGGACACTGGCAAAACTACAAGGACGATATGTACGAGGTGACTGGTCGTGGGGCAAGCGGTGAAACAGAAGGCGAAATTGGCGAAGACGAGTCATACGGTCTGAAGCCGATGAACTGTCCCGGCCACTGTCTGCTATTTAAGTCGCAGAACCATTCCTATCGGGACTTGCCCGTTCGCTATGCGGACTTCAGCCCTTTACACCGGAACGAAGTGTCTGGCTCGCTGACTGGACTCACTCGGGTTCGTCGCTTTCATCAAGATGACGGCCATATCTTTTGTCGTCCACAACAGATTAAATCGGAGATCGCGTCGGCATTGGGATTTGTCGATATGGCCATGACAACCTTTGGACTGGGTCCGTATCGACTGGTACTATCCACTCGACCCGAGACAGATTACATTGGAACTCTGGAGATGTGGGACAACGCAGAAAACCAGCTTCGCGAGGCATTGAACAGCACGGGGCGGGAATGGGCATTGAATGAGGGGGATGGTGCTTTTTACGGGCCCAAAATCGACATCCAACTCCAGGATCAGGCTGGAAAGTATCACCAACTATCAACGATCCAGCTGGACATGAACCTGCCGCAGCGGTTTGAGTTGGAATACCAGGTTGCCGAGGGCGAGGCAGACTACAATCCAGCCACGCCGGGGATTGCGACACCCGTGCTGGTTCACCGGGCGATCTTCGGCTCTCTCGAACGGTTCTTGGCATTGCTCATTGAGCATCATGGTGGCCACTGGCCATTCTGGTTATCTCCCCGACAAGGAATCATCCTGACTGTGAACCAGGATGATGCTGTCGTGAAACATGCGCAAGAGGCTGCTTCGAGGTTCGCCGGATTCCGCGTGCTCCAGAACGATGGAACAGCTGGACTTCCACGCCCACTATCATCCGCTGATTCGACATTCCTTGTGGATGTTGATACCAGTGCGCAGACATTGGGGAAGAAGATCCAACGAGCCAAGCAGATGAAGTATAATATGATCTTCATTGTGGGACCCCGTGATGTCACGGATGGGGGTGTCACTGTCGATGTTACGGGGCAGATGCAAAGCAAGACCGACCCGGAAGCACAACAATTCCAATCGGTGATCCGCAGTGAATTAGGAGAGAATGCGCTGCAGAATCCTCGAGCAGTGAAACTTCAAGTGGACGAGGTGCATCCGCTGTTGGTGCAGCTTGAGAGGAACTTTGTGTGAGGAGGGGAGGGGGGACCTGTACTAATATCTAAATTTATATCCAATTGTAATTGTAAAAAATTAGAACCAAAGATGCTTATTTTTATGTGTCTACATTAGTATACTAGTTCTCCATAGTAATCCACCCAATCCACCATAACATATCCCTTCCGCGCGGTTACCCTCGGCATTCTTCCCCAGGGACTCCGAAGTCGGGCCTGCAAACTACCTGCAGACTGCCAGATACCATTAACTCTTGTATGTACATCCACGTCGTAAGATGAATTCAAGGTAACACAAAAAACCGAAAAAGCTGTATCAATCCGTGAAAAGTAGCGCATTGGCTAAAATGAAAGGTGAGACTAAACCATCTTTGGTTACTCGCGCGCCCTGCAGATCTACTTTTGACAACCCCACGTGACTCCGCTGTCGGCGCCGAGAAGGACTAAAACTCGTCATTCGCCTTTGAGTCAGACTGTCAGAAATGCCCCTAGTTTGATTGGTCTTGGATTTTAAAAAGGATTCAATTTCCCTACTTCTTGGATTCTCTCAAGTCGTACCTATCCTACCAGCGCAGTCCTGCGTCTGTCCCAATTTACTCTATCTCAACTTAAGGTCTTGACCTTCCTTTTATCGCTTATCCCCCACTGTACCCCGCCAACCCGCCACCATGCCAATGTTGGTCAACCCAATTCCAATTGCCTTGCCACCAAGAATTTCCAGTTAACCGTGCTGTTTTCTCTATCCAGGCTCAAAGATCCCTCTACAAAATATAAGCCGTTCAAGCCGCTGGACCTGCCGAACCGCCAATGGCCCAACAAGACCATCGAACGTGCCCCGCGATGGATGGCCACCGATCTGCGTGATGGCAACCAAAGTCTCCCCGATCCCATGGTATGAAATTGCGAACTTTGCTGTTTGATTTGATTCATCGGCTCGGATATCTATAACATGTGCTAACGGAAATGCGTATATTAGGACGGCGAACAAAAGCTCCGCTTCTTCAAGATGCTCGTGGAGATCGGCTATAAAGAGATCGAAGTCTCATTTCCCTCCGCCTCCCAAGTCGACTTCGACTTCACCCGTCGCCTGGTTGAGGAGCCCGGTCTGACCCCTGACGATGTCTGGCTCCAAGTCCTGGCTCCCTGTCGTGAGGAGCTCATTCGCCGCACTGTCGAGTCCCTGCGAGGTGCCAAGAAGGCTATTCTGCACATTTACCTGGCTACTAGCCCATGCTTCCGCCGTATTATCTTCAACATGAACAAGGAGGAGAGTCTGAAAAGAGCTGTCGAGTGCGCCAGGTTCGCTCGCTCAATCACCAAGGATGATCCCTCAATGGCTGGCACGGAATGGCAGTTCGAGTTCTCTCCCGAGACCTTCTCTGATACCGAGCCCGAGTTTGCTGTGCAGGTTTGCGAGGCCGTCAAGGAAGCATGGGGCCCGACTGTGGAGAACCCAATCATCTTCAACCTGCCCGCCACAGTTGAAATGTCGACTCCTAACATCTATGCCGACCAAATTGAATATTTCTGCACCAAAATGACCGAACGTGAGAAGTTTGTTGTTTCTCTGCACCCCCACAATGACCGTGGATGTGCCGTGGCTGCCGCCGAGCTGGCTCAGATGGCTGGTGCCCAGCGTGTTGAGGGAACCGTTCTCGGGGATGGAGAGCGCACTGGAAATGTCGATCTTATGATTCTTGCCCTGAACCTATACACACAAGGTGTCTCACCAAACGTCGACTACTCAGACATTAACTCCGTCATCAAGGTTGTTGAGGAGTGCACCAAGATCCCCGTTCCCGAGCGCTGGCCCTACGCCGGTTCCCTGGTCACCAGTGCCTTCTCTGGTAGTCACCAAGATGCTATCAAGAAGGGCTTCACTCTGCGTGAAAAGGCCACAGCAGCTGGCGAGGACGAATGGGTCATTCCATACCTGCCTCTGGATCCCCAGGATATCGGACGAACCTACGAGAGTGTTATCCGTGTCAACAGCCAAAGTGGAAAGGGTGGTGCGGCCTGGGTTATTCTGCGCAGTCTGGAGCTGGATCTCCCTCGTGCGCTGCAGGTCGAGTTCAGCAAGATCGTGCAAACGGAAACCGAGAAGGCCAACCGGGAACTGCGCCCCGCCGAGATTGTCACTCTCTTCGAGGAGGCTTACCACCTAAAGTCCAACCCTCGCTTCAATCTTATCGACTACAACATTACCACCGACCGCTCGCAGTCCCCTGCTCCTCCTGAGCCCGGCAAGGCTCTGAACACCAAGAACCTGAAGCGTCGCTTCACTGGTATCATCGAAATCGACAATGTCCAACATGCCATCACCGGCGTGTCCAATGGTGCTATCTCATCTCTTGCCGCCGCCCTTTCCACTCTGGGCATTGACCTTGATGTCGTTGACTACAAGGAGCACTCTATCGGTACCGGTCGTGAGACCAAGGCCGCCACATATATCCAGTGCACTGCCTCCGGCAGCAAGGCGCAAGTTTGGGGTGTGGGTCTGCACCAAGATGTGGTCCAGGCTTCTCTGATCGCGCTGCTCAGCGCCGCCAGCTCGGTAAGATCACCAATTAATCCGAAGCATACCTGAACCGCCAAACTAACCCAAGATTTGCAGTTCCTCGCCTCTACCTCCGGTTCCCCGGCTCCCTTCCGTCCCATTCGCTCGAACACTCTCACCAACGAGGACCTCCAGGCTCTCGAGCAGCTGACACCTCATGCGCCTGCTGCTAACGGTGGCCTGGGAAGTGCCAAGGTCAACATTGAGCAGCTGACCAGGCAGGCGGAAGCCCAGTAAGCTGTAAAAAGTTTTTGTGATTATACGAAGTAGCCAATAATGCATATACCATCTTGTTTGTCTGAACTTAGAAGAACCGTCCAAAATGTATATCATTAGTAGACCTAAAACAACCTATCTATTCAGAAAATATGAAAATCGGGATAATGTCTTGGAATGGTGCCATTGGCCCCCAACTTAGCCGAAAGATCATAACGTTACATAATTCGATGACTATCGGAGGACTCCACACATCTTCGCCCGAGGTCTACTAGTATGAAGAGCCTGAGGTCATTCCCGCCCGAGATCGTGACCTTCATCTTTCCGCCCTTGATCTTTGACTACTAGGTATTGCACACGGATATACCAACCAACCAATCACAATGACAAGCAAAACAGAGCTAGTAATAGGAACCCGGAATTCCAAACTAGCACTCGTCCAAGCCGAGCGCATCTCCAAGGCCCTTAGTGATCTCCACCCCGCCATCAAATTCCCATGGCAAGTGGTCTCGGTCCGAGGCGATGTCGACAAAACAAGCCCGTTCCTGAAATTCAGCGGTCCATCAGACGCAGCGAAGAACATCTGGACCGAGGAGATGGAAGCTAAATTATGTTCTGGAGAATTGGACCTGCTGGCGCACTGCCTGAAGGATATGCCGACCAATTTGCCGGATGGATGCGTTCTGGGCGCCATTGTGCACCGTGAAGATCCAACCGATGCGCTGGTCGTTAAGAGTGGCCTGGATTATAAAAATTTGGCTGATTTACCTGCTGGTTCTGTGATTGGAACTAGTTCGACGCGTCGGAAGGCGCTGCTTAAGTATAAGTATCCTCAGTTGATCGTGGAAGAATGTCGAGGCAATCTGTAAGTCTTACATCTCTTGCGTCGAATTTCGAATAATTTCACTTTAAATTTTCACGGACCAATGCTAATTATGACCAGTGATACTCGTCTTCGCAAACTGGATGATCCAGAAGGTTCCTTCACAGCCATAATTGTCGCTACGGCTGGCTTAAACCGAATCAATCTATCGCACCGCATCACGAAAAGTCTCCCCGCATCAGAATTCCCCTACGCTATCGGCCAGGGCGCACTTGGAATTGAACTCCGTGCGGGAGATAATTCAACACTGGACGTTGTTCGAAAAATCGAAGAACAGCCCACCCGCTGGATCTGTCTCGCCGAACGGTCATTGCTTCGCACTCTGCAGGGTGGTTGCTCGTCGCCGGTTGCTGTGAACAGTGTGATTGAGAGTCAGAACTCGACAGAAATTTCCTTGAGACTTGAGGGTATGATTATTCATCCGCATGGTTCAAGCCAAGTGTCATCAACTATCGTGGCGGTGGTTAAAAGTGATGATGATGCGGTGGCCATCGGCGCGGACCTTGCGAAGAGATTGGAGGAGAATGGAGGACGGGCTTTGTCAGATGAAATTAGAGTTCTACAGCATGGTGTTTAGGTCGAGTTCTGATTGATGTATGATGTGATGCTTAGATTAGAAATCCGGATACTTTCCCCTCTAACTACTGATCAGTGATATTTCTTACGATTTGACTGATGTCCAGTACCTTAGGAAATGATCGGGTTTGTGCTTGTTGAGTTCATATTGCATATAAAATCTGAATTGTCAATAACATTTACCGAGGAGCAGACGATAGAACGTTGAGTGAGCAAGAAACTAGGATAGACGGTAGAGGAAAGAGACGACTCGAGTGAGTCAATGCAAAACAAAGAAGGCTCCTTTGAGGAGGTATGAGGCGTAGTTTAAACGAGACCAAAGCACCAGATTGAAAGAACTATGAGAGCGCAGGGTACTGCATCATCTAATAGATCACATGGGCTGCTTCTTTGTGAAAAATCTCGTGATACTCATGCTCCCCCTTCAATGAGGTCCGACCTCACGGGGCTTCAAATGAGGACACCGTTTTGGCGCGGAAATTATTCAAGTTTATACAGTCACGGTATAGAACCGGGCACGATGTCTACCCGATTACTGGGAATAATGTTGGACTCAGAGGTTGGCTCCTGGAAATGGGTTGACTAGCCGTCGTAACTGAGATAGACAGGAATATAGCCCATCTTGGAAGGGTAGCAAGATATAGAAGGCGAGGTGTAATTCTTCGCCTCTCTGTCTTGTTACGCTACCAACTTAAAGGTTACCAGCGTCCTGTCAATTTTATTACGGCTGCTCGTCGTCTTATTTCCAGGACGCAACCTCTTGTGTAAAGATATGACTCTGAAGCTTCTTGGGCTTCTTAAAAGACCTGATACTGCCTACTACAACCCCAAACAGTTGGCACAGAACGACTTTTCCTGCAGGTCCAGAAGAACATAATTCGACTTCCGGTTTCTGCTAGCCTTGATAGCTCCTCCGGGCTTCTTCCAATCTGACCTGTAAGGGCTAGTCACCTCGTTATCAGTTAGTAAATCTGCCTTATAGTGAGTGTTATTGAAATAATAAGTTAGCTTGGAGCGCTTTTTGAATAAATCTATAGGCTTCTTCTGATCTTGCCAATCAATCAGTACTCTAAGAGATTAACACCAGAATGAAGGTCCTAGCAAGGACACCTGGTGGATTAAGATATTAGCTCCCACCCATACGTCGTCAGATTAACCGTGGAACTCAAGTAGAGGGCTCGTCCAATAATTATGACCAGGACATTCGAGTGATATTTTGCCGAAGAATAGGCTGTGGGTATTATCGCATTATTTTAAATGGATCTCCAAGCCAAGGTGTCGCTACAAACACACATTACGCGACAGAGTTCACCCATACCATGCATGACAACCTTCACTAGCTACTAGGAACGTGAAATTTGCTCGAAGATCCATGATACCAGCATTAATGATCAACCCAATCGAGTTAAAGCAGACAACTTACTTTCCCTTTGATACAATCTGACTAGCAAAATTAAGTTTAGCCAAGAGAAGCTTAGCATATCTTAGCATGAGATCCTGGGAAGTATCAATAAATACCGGTACTACTAGAGGCGTAAGGTACTTCGGATCTGCTTTCAATCTATGCTACGTAAAAATTATTCTGGAAATAGTAGAAGGTAATCATTGTACAGAATTTGGTAGAGATTCCACCCTTGAATATCATTGCAACATAAGTCATAACTGTGCAAGATCTCTTAAGAAACATGCTAAGAAAACATGAAAGCAGCTGTCAACATCGAGACGATAAGTGCAGTAAATCCGCGATAACCACTGGTAGCAGCCCCAGAGTCTTTACTCAGTCCCAATGGCAGCCCCTGGTAGCTAAACGTCACATTTTGAGGAATGCTCTTGTTGAGGCACTCTCCATTCTCGATGTCCAAGTTGGTGAGGTCATCAGCGTTCAAGAAGAACATGTACTTCGACTTATCCAGATCCTTGAATCCGGAAGTGTCGTATGGGAACTTGTCGCCCGAATCGGTCGCGCTGGTGTTGCGGAGGAAAATGCACTGTACTTGGCCCGGGAATTCGGTTGCCATTTTGGGGTAATCGCGCATCACGTCGCTGTTACTGGTGTCTGCGACGAGGATAAACTTGCGCTCTGGGAATGTTTCAAACACCTTTTCCAGAAGGAACTTGCGAATGGAGAGGGTCGCTGAGACATCGCTGAAGTTGAGAGGGCGGGTGTCAAAGGAGCCGCCCGGATAGTTGGTGTAGATGAACTGCATGTAGTTTCTGGTAATTTGTTCGGGAGTTGTGGTCTAGAAAAGTTGTTAGTTGCTGGATCAGGTTGAAAATGGATGGGAAATGATTGGATTTGAGAGAGGCCTACCAGGTAGTGGAAATGCGTGTGAGGGAGACTGGTTGACCAATTCCGATAAATGTCCGGCATATTCTGCCACGGGGTAAAAGGCTTGGCGAAAGAATTGATCAACCCTTCTTCCGGCTCGTAAATCTTGGTGATGCGGAGAACATCGTCAATGTCTGAAACAATAGTGAGACCCTTTGGGGGCACCAGATAGGCCGTGGAATTCCCAATTGTCGCGCCTTTAACGTAGGTGTTAAGTCGCTGGATCGCCGAGGTCTCATTTCCGGCAGTCAACCCATGACTAGCAATGTCGACAAAAGTATCAAAATCACCCTCGGCGGTGGTATTGTAGGGCAATGTCACATTCTGCGTGCCTCCTGTTGTGTTGGATGAGCCCCCTCCACCGGGCTGTCCACTGGCACCCTGGAACTTGGCCGGCTCGAGGTGAATGGTGTTCACGGCAACGTGGGGTTGTTGGACGACAAAGATCTCAGCCGTCAAGTTTCGCGCTTGATCCTGTTGAGACTCGGGCAGATCGGAGATACTGGTGTTCACGAGGAAACCATCGGCGAGTTTATTCAAATCGGAGACAGAGGTGTTGGGCTGTTTGTACACATTGCCGTGGAAGCGCACACTCCATCCCGAGTTGGTCCAGTTGGCATAAGGGTCAACATTCAAGACATTGGTCGGCAATGCAGCCAATTCCGAGCTCTGCAATCCAAGAGAGCTCGCGACTGCGTCGCCGGTGGGAAACCCCTGGAAGAAGTTGGGCACTCCCGATGCGACCCATGAGGGGAGGTCAGAGCCCAGTCCGCTTAAAACACTGTTGACATCTGATTGGACATCCGATGCCGCCGATTCCGCATCACTGATCAAGCCTCTTTCCACGATCGGTGAAGGGTTATTTTGAACTGGAGACGGGGTGATGGCAGGATTGGGGGCGTCGTTATTGTTGACAAACGCTGTTGGGGCGGGCGAACCGCAGGCAATCGACAGCAGCGCGGCTTGCGCCAGTGCATAGCGGTTGAACATTGAGACAGGCCGCATGAAGCTAAGAGGATGGAATAGGTTGAAGGAAATTAAATACGAAGTAGGAACTAGGAGAGTACTTATTCGTCTTTCCCCCCAAACATCCCATGGTCCAGGAACTGGAGCGCCGGTGGAGCCCCAATCTAAACGGGAGGGTCCAATGACATCACCGACGTCAGCGGCGGAGACAGGTTTTGGTGAAATTGCCCTGAGACATTTTCGTGATACCGTGGGTAGTAGTAGGTACAGTAAAAACAGCCAGGCAATAGAGCGAAGGCGATAAATAGGAATCAAAGATGAGAGATAGGAGAGAGTGAGAGAACGAAAGATGAGATGTGGTTCTCCCAAGGAAGTCACAGAGGTATCACGTGTCCCTCATAACCCTTAAAGAGAAGCCAATTTGAAGCAAATAGTATTGGCGCTGGCATCAAAAGGTAGACATATCATTGCTATACATTGAACTGTATATACATAAAGAATTTATTCCATTTTTCATGCTGCCATGGAGTCATAATCACCAAGAGAAGAAAATATCCCACCCCCAACCTCTCCTCTCATTTTGTCCACCATGGTACGAATTAAACTCCTGCGGGCCCTCCGAAGCAACAATGTACCCATGCTCACAAGACGAGAAAGAGACCTTGGGTTGATTCTCATAGAAGTCATCGAAACCTGAAGCCAGTGCCTCGGAAAGTGTGGTTACCTGGCCGGCAGGATGTAGCTGGCCCCATGGGTCCCGACAGGAATCACCTCCGCAGGATTTAAGAACCATCATTAAGGCATCAAGACGGTTGAGGATCTGAGAAAGTTCCCGATTGGCAATCTTGTAGTTTGCATGCTTGTTGGGATGGGCTGCAAGGTTAACTGTCTGGTGGGGGTCATCCTGCTTGAAGTGGTTAATGTCTGGATGATCGGCATGGATGTGGGTAGGATCTTACCTTGAGGTTGTAGTATTCCTTCTCGTTGGTGCACCAAACTGCATAGTAAAGACTGTAGTCATCGGCAACGAGTCGGATACCCTTGTATGTGTTGTTCTGGAAGCTGTTGTGTGGTTGTTGCAGCTTATCGCTTGCATATCCGTAGATACCTTCTGGCACAGCCTATTCATATGTCAGCACTTAGCGGGATTCTCTTTCTTGATGCTTTCATTGAGATGACTTACCAATCCCCAGTACTCAATGGCGACATGCTCCTTCTTGTTGTCTGATTTGCTAGCGGCCACAGTGGTTGGGATGGCCTTGCCATCGAGACCTTCCCTGGACGAATTGGCGATTGACAAGAAAGTGGGCGCGAGATCAGTGTGACTAGTCACCACATCGAGAGTCTGATTCTCCGGAATACCAGGTCCCCGAACAAGGAGAGGAATATGGATATCAGTTTCTGATCCATCAAAGCAGTCAGCATCGTGCAACCCTTGGGGCCATCCTTGCAATAATCCACACTTACCGTAACCACAATTCTTCCCAGGCTGCATACGGTGCTGGCCCAGATGATATCCATTATCCGTCGAGAAAAAGATATAAGTATTATCCAATTCACCCGCCTTCTCAAGCTTCTCGACCAAATTACCAATAATCTCATCAACAGCCTGCAGAGCACGCAAACGGCAACGCTGAAACACATCAATATAATCGATCTCCTTTTGACTCAACTCGGGCACGTTCTGCGTCCAGCTCACAGCCCCTTCAATAAGCGCATTAAAGCTCTCATCACGGGGGGGACTGATAATCTTTAAACAAATTGGCATGCCTCGGCGCAAACTCCGGCTCGCCGAACCAATTCGCATTACGCTTGGAATCATGCGAGCCATTAGCGTGCGGCGCATTCGGCGCAACAGTCAGCATCCATGGCCGATCTTGCGCGATCGCTTCGTCCAGAAATCCCGCTGCTTTCTCGGCAATCACATCAGTTGAGTATTTACCGTCGTAATGGACAGGTGGGTTGCCATTGCGAGTCATACGCGCATAGTAGTACCGGTATGTGTATGGATCGAGAAGGAAGTCGGAGCCATTGAAACCGCGTGCGTAGGGCTTGTTGTAGTTATCCTCTGTGTGGGCATTCCATAATTTTCCCACGTAATACGTGTTGTACCCTGCATCTTGCATCCAGAGGGGTAGATAGTTATCGTTCCAGCCGGCTGATACAACCTTTGGATATCCACCGTATGGTAGGCCGACGTCCGTTACGTTGGTATTGTGTGGCATACGGCCTGTCCAGAGATTTGCGCGCGAGGGGCAGCAGAGGGCGACGGAGCAATAATGCTTAGGATAGGTTGATCCTTTCTGAGCTATGAGTTCCTATTTTGTGTTAGACAGGCCGGGCACTTCAATGAGGGAAATTGAAGAGTTGGATAGTTGCATACTTGAAGCTTGGGCATATGTTCCAATCCTCCGACATACTTGCCCTGGTCGTCAGTCAAGACGAAGAGAATGTTGGGCTGCTTAGCCACAGCTAACCCAGCCAGCAGTAATAGGCGGAAGATATTCATTCTGCAAAGATTGTCTGGGCTTTTTGCTAGAGTGAAAAACAGGGTCCTGGGTGCTCTATTATAGCTCGATTCCCCAGAAAAGACCTCCTCGCGCCCCTCGTCATAACAGCAAAATCAGCGGGAAGAGCTCTTGTCTCATTTCTCCACAGGATTTTGCAAGCCCGACAATCTTCTGTGATCGCTCCATGATTTTTGCTCGACTGAGTATAGAGCGATGCGCAAAGAAGCCCGCTGATCGACGGCTGCGCATGAGAAACGAGGGACATAACGGGTCAGATGGACGATCATGCGGTCGGCGGAGGATGGGTACACAGGATTCTCGTATTCTCTCTCTCTCTCTCTCCGCGATTGCGAGATTTGTACCGCGATGATGCCAGCGGAGATGGTATAAGGGTGGGTCAGCATCACGTCTTCGAATGTGGAGACAACCGTGGAAAGCTTAAAGGGGAATTACCCGCCCAGCACTTTTAGTGTGAGGACCTCAGGGTCTTGGCGGGGGCTATAGAGATTATACTTGGGCGGGTGGTTCTCTCAGGACTGCGATCACGAAGAGGAGAGATTTGATGTTCTCTACCAGATGCCCAGCTGCTGGGTTATCATGCATGTTTTTATTATCCATGCTAGCTCCCGAGAAGCCGCACAGTCTGGCTTATTTGGACTACTAGGTGATGCGCCTGTACAAATTATCCCCTTGTCTGATCGGGAGAAGATAAATGCTCTCTACAGATTTGCTGATCAATTGTCCTCTCCTGAGTGTCTTGAAAGGTTGTCCCCAGAATCACTCAATCTGCAATTCAAAGACAACATTATCAAAGAAATGGGATCGGAAAGGTTACTGTCGACAATGCATCCGGCTATTATGTTCCGTGTTTGTGTATTAAAGTGTAATAGCTACAACGAGGAGAGGAAATATTCTGAATGAAATATGCATTTATTAGAATTTCATTTATCAGGAATAAAACTGTTCCATGGAGTCTTGATCTAGTCGGTTCAAGAAAGAGCACAGAGATGCAGAAAGGTGCAAATATCTGCCTGAGTGAAAGCACCCCTCCGTTCCCATCTTCAACAGACGACGCGCTTTGCGGCCCTCAGGTAAGTCACTCCATTTCAATGAAGCTGGCTATGATATTTTAGCAGCGTATTAAAATTGAATAAACCACAGTTTAAAGGAACTGTGGAGCCTAAGGACATGCCATACACCAACTGGACCAACCTGAATCCATGCCCTCTTAATGCCTGCTGCGACAAATGGGGCCAATGTGGTGTGACCGTTGAGTTTTGTGAACAGGCTAATTCTACAACATGGTAAGAGCCTATAAGATACTCTTTGCCAATTCTTTTATTCTATAAGAGCTGTCCTCGACCCAGAAGCGAGTTAGACTTAGTTTCAGCCATTCTTTATGGGTGTATGGCTAGCTACAGTACTTCGATATCAACGCTCTCTGCCTCAAAGGGATTGAACTTCCACTCGCCTCGCCCAAACTAGCGAAATCTCCAGCAGCGGCCATTACATCTTCTTTCTCCCTGACCCGTCACCAATCTACCATTTGACTCTCTTCAAGCGCAAAGCGATATTTATGCCCCGGCTCAAACACGGTTGAATCTCCCGGATCATTCGCAAGATAGAAGGGCGCTCCTAGGCCTTGACAAGTACTGCGGTACTGCGGCAGTAGTACTGCAGTACTGTAAACAGTGCAAACACGACTAAACTCATGACTTGCATAAGTTATGTAGAAAAGCCCTGTAATTTTAGGTATTCGGTTTACAACTACTGACGCTCTTATCATTAGATCATTGCTTGCGATAGCTGTCAGAAAATATAGCATTACTTGCATTGCTTCTATTTACTCCTCTTGCTATATACATAGTCATTCTCATCCCATCGACGCTTTCGCTCTCTATGTGGATGCTGGCTATCGTATTGAATGATTGGTACCGTTGGAAGCGAAGGGAGGTCAACTGAGTCGTCATCAGGACTAATCGCCTCTTCGCGCGCCGAAGCATCAGGTAGGTCGAATTCCAGCGGGTGCGAACGTTCTGAATTGGTGCCAGCTGCAGCTCACTATCCTGGAGCGTTGAAAAGAGCTCCCGTCGTTGGGGACTAGCATTGACGTAGACAGCGAAGCTTCGAATTTAACGATAGTAATGTAGGTTTAAGTATATAATCTTGATTCTAGTAGAATGATGTAGGTAATAGAGAAATCAACCTTTGCAAGTGTGTAGATGATTCCTGTTTCAGCTTGCGCCTTTCGGAGTGCTCGGCATTGGGGACAAGCGGGAGATGGGCAGATACAAATAGATTTACTGTAGTGGAACTTAAATTGGATTCAGAGGCATTGATATACCTCATCGGGTATGGTATGTACAGCAAACGTACATGCAGAACAAGATCGGCGCAATGGAGGTATTCGGGGATCAGATGAGGGAAATTACAGCAATCAGAAAACAGCAAAGGGGGGGAAAAAGGGAAAGAGAAAAGAAAGGAAAAGAAAAGAAGAGAAATGTAGAGAAGAGATAATCAAGTCTCCTGCCGACTGCCGATTGCCGACAGCACACGGCCCAACAATAGCGCCAAGTGATGGCCAGTGGCCCCATTTAACTATAGCAAGCAAAAATTCTTTTCGGTCAACAAATCAAGTGCTCGCTCATATACAACATGCGAATGCGAGAATGAATTTCAGGGTTTCAAGCCATCTTGAATCTACCGCCTGTAGCTTGACCGTCATCGCCCAAGGCCGACTGGTACATCAGGGCCTCCGCGGGCCAATCGTCGATCACGCCGCTCTCTTGGGTACCCGGTCGGGGCTTCTCAGCGTATGCAGGGTCTGCCATGCTGGCTTGGTGATTAGGAAGCGAGTCGCCCCTCGGTAAATGCTGGTGGCTGGGCTGGGTCGATCCCTGAGGTATTTGCTCCATCGGTGTGCTAGGCATTTCGAAGCTGAATCGGAAGTCGCGATTCGCGTCTGTGGCAGTGCCCTGTTGGTGTTCGTATCCCATTGAGTTGAAGTGATCATCGTCCGCACTCATAATCGTAGCAGACTGTGGCTCTTGAATATAAGGCACCGCAGAATGGGCTGCGGAAACTGGTGTAGCGGGGACGCTATGGTCGGTTCTGGTATCAAGCTCAGGGAGAGTACCTCGGCGCGGCATTTCTTGGTATGGTGGTCCTGAAGGTGCTTCGCTTCTGTCCTCCAGAGCCACTCCAGCTGGCGACTGTGGCACAGGAGGGGCATCATCCTCGTGCATAGTCGACATACGCATGCTGTTACCCATGGTACTGCCAGGCTTGGAGCTTCTGCTAGCACGGTTCTGGATCACATCCGCGAAGGGGTGATCCCCATCCAGGTCGCGAATGCTAAATTGAGCGAGTGTACGTAGCTTCCGAGTCACCCAAGATGCCAGGACCTTTCCACGTTGCTTCTCGCCGAGACGGGAGCGAGGGAAATCACCGTGGGAGACGAAAGCAACGATATCCGCCACCACCTGGTGCTCGCCCAAGATGGTATCGACGATGACAGGAACAAGGGAGGCCAGGAAGGCCTTACGAGTGACCTCTACCACGACCACAATCAACCCACCAGCTTGGAAGATAGCACTAGAAAATAGAATGTTAGCAAAATATGTCCGCGTCGAGATGAGACGATAACTACTTACCATCCTCCGTTCATGATGTTGCGGTGGCAGCTCTCCACTGAGGTTTCGATATCCATGGGGAAGTGGTTCAGGCCATTCACCTCAAAGGTCTCACCGATGCTTCCCAGAACGAAGAGAACCTGCATCTCCACGGGCTGTCCGCCATGACCGATAGGTCGAGTCACAGTGTGGAGGAAACCTAGATCACCGGTGCGAACGTAGGGTACATTGGGATCTCCATCCGCAACGCGGCCGTTCATTCGCTCATAATCAAATTCTTGCTTTGACTTGTAGAATCCAGCGGCACAAGCATCTGATTGGACCCAGATCTCACCATATTCACCCACGTGGGCCAGAGTGCAGGTTTCCGGGTTCACAATTGCAATTTGGGTATTCACAGGCACCATGCCGGAGTCCTGAAGCAGGAGCGCAGTAGGGTCGGCATCGGGATCCACGGGGTAGATCAGGCCACGACGTAAGCTTCGGATGTCCAAGTAAAGCTCGATAGGCTCAATGCACATGTATGACCGTGTTACAATCATCGGGTTGAGAACGTGTGAGTACACAACATTAATCGCGGTGCGATCCAAGCCGGCTGAGGCGAAGTGCAGGCGGGTCTTCTGGTAAATGTCCACTCTGGGTCGACTCTCTGCAGAAATCATCAGGTTTTTGAGTTCTTGAAGCTGGAAGCCCTTGCCGGAGATAGTGCTCATAGCGTAGTCCAGCATTTGACTTGTGGCGTAAGTGTCCTTGATCTTATACCGGGCGAGCGTCACGAAGAGCGTCATTGGGTTCTGAGCAAAGTCGACAGGGGAGACCATATAGGTAGGAGCACCAACATAGATACCCATCAGGCATGTATGTAGGAAGCCAAGACCCAAAGTACTGCGTACACTACCGAGCACCGGACGCATACTGGTCATTTGACATGTCTCCTTCTGTACTTTAGCCATACCCATGATGGTATCATGCCCAATTTGCACAGAGATTCGTCGCTGATCCGGAGTCCAATAGGTCCAAACCATGGCAGTCGGGTTGCCTTGTAGCCATGCATCCTTCATGGTGTAGCCAAGCTCTCTGCAGCCGTGTGACTGTTTAGAAGGCTTGGAAGTGTTGTAGATAGCAGGTACACCGATCCGCAGAACTTGAGCCGATTGCTTGATGTGCTGGGACACGAGTTTCTGCCTCATGACGTGATCCACCTCGGTGTTCACAATAATGGCCTTCACACCTAGATCATTGATGATATGCAAGAATGCCGGGGCATCCTCGGCTAGACGGTTCTGGTCAATTGGAGCCATTGGGATAACCACAACTCCCATGCAGAAGCAAGCATGGACAGCATAGATGTAGTCTTCGGAATGTGTGTACATCAGGATAAGGTGATCACCCGGTCGAACCTTGACCTTGTTCTTCAGGTAAGTTGCTACCGCAGAGACTTTCAGATCGAATTTCTTCCACGTAATACCCTTGCCCTCCTTTCCACGGCCGTCGATAGAGCAGTAAGCCAACTCTTCGGCCTGGCGAGACACGCGCCATTGAAGGAGATCGACAATCGTGTTGAATTTGTTGAGCGGCGTAGATGTTCGGTCATCCATTACAACATCGCGATAGTCTACGCCCGAGTACTGCTTCTCTGAGTATGCGAGCAGCTCCTGCCTAGAAGCCAGAGCAAGAGGAGACCAGATACCACCTTCGAGATCAACTCCCACCGGCAGATTTTGAACAGACCGCTCCACTCCGAACTTGACATGCACGGCTTGTAGCATGCCCGCCTCAAACTCTTTACGGCAAAGCATGTTGCCGATTTCTCGTCTACCATTCTTGGTCACTCGAGGAAGTGTGTTTGGAGCCGTGAGTAGGACACAGTAGACTCGAAGATGATGTTCTTGGTATAGGAGCTCCATGCATCTCTCTGCAAGCGAGTCAAGCAAGATCTGGTCTAGTTGGCGGGGTGGACCACCAGATGTTGTGGGTGCTGTTGACGCTGCATATGACTCCAACACGATGACCGGCAGATGTTCATCGTTCACAAAAACATCGAAGGCGGTGCAATCATGGATCTTCGGGATCTTCTTGAGCAAGCTGACCACCAGGTGCTGAACGAAGAAGTATCGATGCTCGACAACGTCTTGGCCATGCTCGACCCATTCCACCTTTTGGCGCAATCGATCTTCATACAAACCAAGAACGAACACTCGGCCTTCGATCACGCAGCCCAGCAGACCTGTTCGAAGGAATTCGGGCTCTACAAGGATAGGGGTCGGATTTGTGTCTTCGAATTTGTAAGGACGGGCATGGAAAATCGCCTCAGTGTGTTTTCGGCAGAGCCCAGAAGCCTCCGGAGAGCGAAGGGGAATCAACCCAAATTTCACCAATGACATTGGGAGTGCAGAGAAGATTGGTTTCGGGATCAACGATGGAAAGTGTGGCATCGGGGATCGGGTAACCGAAGGCACCAACCCGGACAGCATGCGGCATAGTACTAGCGTACTTTCTAGCATCTTCACCCATCGCCAAAACAACAACCTCGTTACTCTTCAGTGCTTCTTTGTCAAGAAGCACTTCAGCCAAGTCGTTCTTTCCGGTCTCTTTGGGTGCTGATATGCGAGATCCACCGCCCAGAAGACTGCTACCAAATCCAGTGTTGGTCTCGGATTTCTCGAGCTTGGCGTCATCTTTCTTGGAATCGCGTTCTGCTGGGTCCATCTCGTGTGTGAGTGCACACCCCATTCGTTCCTCGCCACCCAGCCAATCGCGCATGCTAATGACCATCCCGCCGTGTTCTGGCAAACATAGCATTGGTGAAACGATCTCTCTGGCTCGCGGGTTTCTCATTGGGCGCAGCCATCTGTCGGTCAGAATCTCGTGAAACTCTGAATCAAGCGTGAGGGTGTCGATCAGACAGAGTTTCACGCTGCTAAAGTTGGGTTCGGAGTTCTTTTTATAGTGCCTCGTGGCCATGGGGTCTTGTTGGTAGTTGTACGCAGCAATCTTCAGTCCAGAATAATCGGCTGCCATGATTGTCGCACGGTACTTGGTGATCAGATGGGCATAGAGACCAGGAGTCTCCACGGCTCGATCCTCATGATATACAGTTGTGTGGCCTCCATATACAGTCAAGAGAACCCCCAGAATCATACCGATGCCTTGTCGCGGGTCTAGGTAGCTAATAATAGTCTCTCCCTTGGCGAACTGCTTAGAACTCGACTCGGTAGGTACAGTCGAGACGATTGCGCTGAGACACGCCATTTGGTGCATGATGGTACGGTGGCTCATTACCACGCCACGCATATCTCCTGTCGGAGCTCGAGCAAACTCGATATATGCCAAATCGGGAACAACGAGGGGAGGGGAATCATCTTTCTTCTTGGGATGAAAGCTTCCAAACTCATTTGTTTTCCACCATTCAACGCCACGCGGCCAGTTGAGCTTTTGGGCAGTGATGTCACGCTGGAACCCCTTCAAGTTGTTTTCCGTCGTCAATGCAAGGTGGGCTTGGGTTGAGGTGAGTACTAGGTTCAAACTTTGATAGTCATCGAGGCTATTGATAGGCACGGCAACCACCCCAGCAATGAAACAGCCCAAGAGAGCCACAGCGAATTCGATGATTTCAGTCTCGCGATAGATCAAGGCAACACGATCTCCACGATACAGATTGCTCTTGTCGCGAATAACCTGGGCAACTTTCTCCGCGCGGCTAGCCAGCTTGTCCCACGTTATAGATGCAATCTCCTTGCCCTTCTGATCCAATACCCAGTATGCCGGTTGCTTCGGATGGGCTCGTGCGCGATGTCGGAGAACGGCCGGAAGATTGTCGAAAGAAGACATGGGGGTATTCTTTTCATGCGGGTCATTCACAGCAAACGGGATGTCTCGGGGTTCGAGAGGAAGTAAATGTTGAATAGCAGGGCCGTGCTGCGCCAGCTCTGAGGCCGGAATGAAAGGCGGCGCCATGTTTGCTGTTGGAGAAAATGCTTCGCCGGATTGAGAGTAACGGTGAAATCCACCACCACCATAGCTATCTCTGTAATCATCATGCTGCTGACCAGCAAAATCTGAGAAGTATACTTGCTGCGAGTCAAGCATTGTGGACTGTCGTGTGACACCACCAGATGCAGGGTCGTAGGCTCCCATATCATCATGTGCGTATTCGGGTTGACCATATTCCGCCTGGGAATATTCGGGTTGGGCGTACTCTGGCTGGGTATATTCTTGCTGGGAATACTCAGGCTGAGCATATTCAGGCAGCGCATACTCAGTTTGCGTTTCAGGTTTGAAGGCGTAGTTCTGGCTCATGAGAGTGGCCGTCCTAGAGCCATCCGCTCCTTGGGAACCCCCTGGTCCAGGCCTGGGAAGGAAAAGCGAATCGTACGACGATGCGGATGGCGCTCGATCGAATGTCTGCAGCATGCCGGTGCTATCTCTGTCGTGAGACCCTCCGGTGGGTGCCGGGGAGGGGTTCTGCGTGTCCGTGTTGGCACCATGGTCGTACTCATACCCTCCACTACCATCGTACGCAGCAGCATACGTGGGAGAAGAAATGGTTGGATGTGACGAGTCGGCAGTGGGTGGCCGAACATTCAGAATCGCAGGAGGGGCAATGTGAGAGCCGCTTAATGAGTCTGCATGGCTTGAGGTCGCGTGGGCATTGAGGTCAAGAGGTTTATTTGGACCGAGGAACTGGGAAAGAAGAACGGTACGTCGCTTTTGGTATCTATACACCGTTAGCTCCAACTCTGCCCCCGTCGGCTGAAGAGTCCGCTAGGATAGCTCAGGGTGCTAGGTGAATGTCCGCAAGAAGCCGGGGGGGTCCGAACGGTGGCCGTTGCTTACCCTTTCTCGGTGATATCGCCCTCCTGTCAAGCATCATGCCGGGTCAGCACCAGTTTCACGGACATTTAGGGCTAAGTACCTACCTCTAGTTCGCGGTCCAGGGTCCGCAATGCGGATTGAAGCTCGGGGCTTTCGTCCGACATTTGGACACGGGTCGGGCCTCAGTTTGAGGGAATGTGGATCGAGCGCGCGGGGGAGGAATGGGTGTCGTGTGGACAGGAACACCTCATGGCAATGAGCGTCCGAAGGCGCAAAAGAGGGACTGGGGAGGTCGGCCGTGGGGGCGCAGTCGGTATTTGTAGTCGAATTAGCCGGGGTGGTGGTAGTTCCTTTGGCTAACGAGTCGATTGTCTCAGTGATGGACTCCGCGTTGCGCAACGTCACCCACCCGGAGACCCAAACGGCGAGGGCGGTCAAGGGAGCCGAGCGGCGGCTGAGACAATAAGGTCGACAAGAATAGATTAGGCTAGTGTGGCCTAACTGAGGGGCAGAAGGGGAATTGGGGGATGTGAAAGTTGTGGGAGAGGAAGAGGGAGACGGGAATACTGGTGGGAGTGAGAGTGGAAGTGGAAGTGGAAGTAGAAGTGGCCCGAATGAAAATGGCGGGAATGGGGGGGGGTTCTCAGGTACGGGAGGAGGGGGACATGGGGGGAGAATGGATGAATACTAGTATTATGATATTATGCATATATAAAATATATGGAGTTAATTTATATATGCAGATATATATACCTATATATATAGACACTACGCTGTAAATAGTACTTGAACTCATTGTATACTCACAGGCTATTGTTATCGACTGTATACATGTAACTATAGTTACAAAGTGACCAACGGATAGCTTGTTAGTCAGCATTCTCGTGTCTGCCTCAGGTACCAATAAGGTGACAGTCACATGACCGTCGACACCTGATTGGTGCCAGATCTGCCCTAACTCATGTGACCCCCACACAACGCCTAAGCGAGCGCACCGCGAATTTCCTCCCATGCGGATCGCCGACCTCAACGACTTGTCGAAGCAACCACCCAACGACAAACCCTCCCACATACCCTCCCTCGACACTGTCAACATGTCCGACGCCGGGGAAGTCGTCGCGGTCAACTCCATCCTGCCCAAGGATGTGAACGAAGGCTCCGTCCTCCTTGTACGCCTCCTCCAAATCTCAGTGAACATTCAATCTCGAAAAATACTAACCCTTGCCCAAAGTTCAACAAGTGGTCCTACGAGGATGTCGAGATCCGCGACATCTCCCTGACGTGAGTCCCTTTCAATTCAATCGCCTCCGAATGCGCAAATATGGTTGTTGTCGAGTCCACAATTGGGGCGTGATTTGTGGTTTTGTGGTTTTGGGGGGTTGTGATATCAAATTCGGTCCAACGAAACACGGCAGATGGCCCGGGAGGAAACAACTTGCATATTGGGCATTCGGAGCGCAGCACATTCCCGAGGACAATTGCTGATATTTTTCTTTCCATCTTCAGCGACTACATTCAGATCCGTCAGCCCGTCTACCTCTCCCACACTGCCGGTCGCTATGCCGCCAAGCGTTTCCGCAAGGCCCAGTGCCCCATCATTGAGCGTCTCACCAACTCGCTCATGATGAACGGCCGTAACTCCGGAAAGAAGCTCATGGCCATGCGCATTGTTTCCCACGCTTTCGACATCGTATGTTTCATCCAGCCCGATACACCATCCGAAATTTCGACCCAGTCGCTAATATTTTCTCTGTTATTCAGATCCACATCATGACCGACCAGAACCCCATCCAGGTTGCTGTCGATGCCATTGTCAACTGCGGCCCCCGTGAGGACTGTAAGTTTGACCCGAATCGCGATGAAAGGCTCGATTGTTCGAGGGGATTCTCTAAGAAAAGAGCTTTCATCAAACAACGTTGATCGAGGGGACAATTGCTAATTCATATCCTTCTAGCCACCCGTATTGGTTCCGCCGGTACCGTCCGTCGCCAGGCCGTCGATGTCTCCCCTCTGCGCCGTGTCAACCAGTCCATCTCTCTCCTGACCATTGGTGCTCGCGAGTCCTCTTTCCGCTCCATCAAGAGCATTGCTGAGTACGATACCCTTTTTTCATCTGAGCCCACATGGGTCATATCATCCGAACGTGTGCTAATCATATTCATTAATAGGTGCCTTGCTGAGGAGCTGATCAACGCCGCCAAGGGCTCCTCCAACTCCTACGCCATCAAGAAGAAGGACGAGCTGGAGCGTGTTGCCAAGAGCAACCGGTAAAGGGTGTGTGGAGTGTATTCTCCGTTTGGTCCTCTGTTTACGGCTTCTGGAGTGGACGGGGGGGTTTTCGCCGGGATTCAGTGGAATTGCACACATCTGCGCGGCTGTACTTAATCTGATACGGCCAAGGAAAAGCAGTGTCCAAAAAAAGGAACGCCGTCTGATTGCTTTCTTCCAAGTAGTTGGGATGTGATCACGAAAGTCTCGGGTGGTAATGGCCACTTTCAATATGAAAAAATTTTTCCTCTTCCAATGCAAATCAAAAATCATATTTTCGGCGCCCTTAGTAGTGAACGTAGAAATAAATATACTTCTCTTTTTGAAAATATCGAAAATTTGACCGAGGCTTTGATATTCCATGCAAGTTCCAGCCATTGCTGTTACAGCAGTCCCCCCCATTCATTGGTCCCCCAGTGTTAGGTAGGGTGGACGGAGTCGCTTATCGATACGGCGAAAAAAAGTTTCGGACCACCCCCAACCTTCGTGAACTGGGACCAACCTCCTTCCACCACCCACCATTTCTATTCACAACCAGTCAAAATGGTGAAAAGAAAGCTTGGAGCCTTGGAAAAGGTCGAGGCTGACCTGTGAGTTTTCCTAATTTCTGATCGCCCAATGCGCCCGCAACGGCAAGTCCTGCTCAGGCAGAGACAACGAACCGCTCTATTGACATCTCGCTCGCCCTTCATAGGCCTAATCTGCAGCACAAGATTCGCAGAGATCCCAAGTAAGTGCCGTTTGGATGAACCTCTCTACTCTATTCTCGCAGTTGAAAAGATCTAACCAGTACTCTGCGCTTAGATCATACATTGAGGATTTCCGCGCTCAGCACTACCAATATGAGTCGCACCGCGAAATTTTCATGGCTGCGCCTTCAGCCGCGACGGACACTGGCATTATCTCTCTGCGCGAGCTGATTGACTTCATTTCGCACGTTGCCGACGCTTACCCGGTGATCTTGAAGGACTTCCCGCAGCAGCTCATCGATATGCTGATACAGCACCACCTGGTGTTGGAGCCGGAGTTGAGAGAGAAGTTGGTCGGAAGTCTGGTGTTACTGAAAAAGAAGGATCTGCTCGATTCTGCAACGTATGTTCATCCAATGTTCTCATGGCATTTTGGCTCTCGGGTCTATGTTCTAACGGGTATTTTAATTGTAGACTCCTCCAAACACTATTCCCCATCCTCATCACTACGCCTAGCAAGACTCTTCGTGCTCTGCTGTTTCAAAAGATTCTGTCTGAGCTTCGGACAGCCAACACTAAGACGAAGAACCACAAGCTCAACCGCACTATGCAGACTGTCCTTTTCAACCTAGTCTCATCTGACCGCACCAGCTCCAAGGCACTCTGGGCCATCAAACTGGTCCGAGAGCTATGGAAGCGTCAAATCTGGACTGACGCCAAGACAGTCGAGATCATGAAGGAGGCAAGTTTGTCTGAGAACGAAAAGGTCATCATTGGTGGTGTTCGCTTCTTCCTGGGTGGCGACAAGGAGCGTGAGGAGGCGGAGGATGAGAGCAGCGATGACGATGCCGTCGATGTTGGTCGTATCAGGCACCAGCTTGGTATCAACAAGAAGACCAAGAAGAAGGCCCGTGTGGCTGAGAAGGCCATAGTCACTCACAAAAAGAAGGAGAAGAAGAAGAACCAACCGCATGCTCTCAACTTCTCCGCGCTTCATTTGCTGCACGATCCTCAGGGATTCGCCGACACTTTGTTCACTCGCCATCTGCAAAGCTCCAAGGCTAAGCTGAACCTTGAGAATAAGCTTGTTGTCTTGCAATTGGTGTCTCGTCTCGTGGGCTTGCACAAGTTGCATATTATGTCGCTCTACTCCTACTTCCAGAAGTTCCTCACCCCGCGTCAACCTTCCGTTACCTCATTCTTGGCATCTCTGGCCCAGGCGACTCACGACCTGGTTCCTCCCGATGTTCTTGAGCCTCTTGTTCAGAAGATTGCCAATGAGTTCGTCTCTGAGGCCTCCGCTGGAGAAGTAGCCACCGCCGGTATGAACGCTATTCGAGAGATTTGCGTCAGGCAACCTCTGGCTATGAACGAGACGCTGTTGCAAGATCTCGTCATGTATAAGAAGAGCAAGGACAAGGGTGTCATGATGGCTTCGAAGGGTCTGCTCAGTCTCTACCGGGATGTTGGCGCATCGATGCTCAAGAAGCGGGATCGTGGTAAGGAAGCCTCCATGGGTCTCCGTGCTGGCGACAAGCTCAGCAAGCGGTTCGGAGAGCAGGAGAGTGGTGGTATTGAGGGACTCGAGTTGTTGGAGAAATGGAAGGATGAGGAGCGCCGCAAGAAGCGTCGCGAGATGGGACTTCCTTCTGATGGCGAGGATGACGAGGAAGATGATGAGGAAAACAACTGGGCCGCCTGGAACGTCGAGGATGATGAGGACAGCGATGATTCTGGCGATTGGGTTAACGTCCAAAGCGACGTTGAGATCGATCTCAGCGACTCCGAGGACGAGGGCAAGGGCAAGGACAAGGGCCCACCCAACAAGAAAACCAAGCAAGATGAGGATACCAAGACGGATACGCCAGCTGATGTAGAGAGCGCATTCTCCAAACTTGCTACTACTAAGATCCTGACTCCTGCGGATCTGGCCAAACTTGCCGAGCTCCGTGCTGAGGCTGCTGTCGGCGCGGCTCTTCCAGGATCGAAATCCCGTCACGCCCAGAGCACCACTCGTCACAGTGATGACCCGTTGACTGCGGAGGAGATCGAGGGCCTTGCCCGCTTGTCTGCTGCTAAGCAGACGCGTGAGGAGCGTATTGCTCACGCCCGTGAGGGCAAGCTGGACCGCTCCGAGCACAAGAGCAAGGAGGCTAAGCGTAAGGAGCGCAAGGAGGAACAAGGAAAGAGTACCACGAACAAGGAAAAGGCTCGCCGGAAGAATTTCCTGATGACTATCGGCAAGGCGAGAAGTAAGAACAAGCGCAGTTTGGTGGAAACGCGTGCTGTGCTCAAGGCGCATCACGACCGACAGAAGAGAGGTGGAAAGAGAGGTAATCTTGGAAATTAGCCTGAGCCGTTGGGTAGTAAATACTAGTTGTTATGCATGCAGTTTATATATACCTAGGTATCTAAAATGGGATCTGGCGTCTATTGACTTTTAATTGTACTCCTGCCTAGTAGTATACCCAAGTACCTAGGTAGTAGTAGTAGTAGTAGTACCAGGGCTGTAGCTGGGCATCAGCGTTGGAACCGTGACCTTCAAGTTCAAGATCCTAGTCCCAACCTAAATTCTATCTAGGGCTAATTACGGTGTTTGGTGCGGTATTTATAGAGAAAGCGGTCTTATATAATTGGTATGTTATACTAGTAGTGTATCTTATCAAATTCCAAATTATAAATTCACTACTAGTACTGTACTTGGGTACTACTAGTACTATATATTGTCGTGGACTATACTAGTAGTATCATCATGATATATCGAAATGTCATCTGGGCACCATCATGACGGTATCAAACTTGAACAAACTTAGCTGGAACCTTGGTCCTTCGAACGCTTCAAGTTTCAGCTTCACTCAACCAAAATCAGTAACAGACACCACCATTCTATTAGTAGTAGTCACGTTCCATGCACCAGATCGCGATGCAAATCTGACGGAAGGCAATGCCGATAGAGCATATAGTATTGATTGTGATGCAATTCTGACCGGGCAACCGTAGGGTGGGAACTACAAATAACACTCTTGCACATTTGCAATCTACTCAATATACAAATCTGTATACTACTCCGTATACTATAAAGTATAGATACTACCACTGTCTACATCTGACCAATCCGGGCATCAGCATCTCCCGTGACAGTATCCACGTGACATAGCCCTAAGCCCTAACCCAAAGGGGCCTAATTGATCTGATCTCGTCGCGTCTCCGCGTCAACGCGCGTGCCAAATCCTCCCCAGCCTCCAGCCTCTTCTTCTTCGTCCATCGGGCAATTTTCTTATCGTCCCCTCTTTGCCCCAGCAACTATCCTCCCCTCTCCTTTCCTCCCTTGCTGCCAACCCTCCCTTCTCCAACTTTTCGATCAATACAGCACAACCCCTCAACCCCTCTCAACCTCCTACGTCATGCCTTCCCTCGTGGCCCAACCTACCTTGTCAACCTCCAACGACACGCTCTCCAAGCGCAGACGCTTTCAACCCGCAATCACAAGCTTCTTCCAATCTCAACAACCCGAGTCCCATATCGACAATGGAACACCCGTCTCACACAACCACTATGCTGCCGCAACCTACTCTGCAACCCCCGTCGTATCAGAAAAAGTGCAATCCTCGCTACTTTCCGTCGGAATGCGGGTCCGCAAGTCGGTCGCAGACGGATACAAGACCCAACGGTCGCTGAAGCAGGAGAAATCCATTCCTCCACCTCTTGTCGTGAAGACCCCAATTGCCGAGCTACATGCAGGCATGTACAGCCATGGCGAACTCGCCCCCTTCTCCGGCTTCTCCAAGTACGATCTCGGCTCCACCTCTGGCCACATCGTCAACGATGATGGGGACGACTACTCTCTCCCACCGAGCAGTCAAGACTCCGTTGCATCTACCAACTCCTTCAATAACAACAACAACAACATGAACAACAGCCAGAAACGGACATTTGGTTCGGATGACTTCGCCGCCTGGGAAGATGAGAGCAACATTGCTTTTCACGATGCCCCTACTGGTCGACACATTCTAGCACCGGGACTAGGCCAGCAGCGTCGTCGCATGCTTGCTTTGCGACAAACCAGCCAACCAGGCATGGATGTGGACGGTTTCGAAGAAGCTTCTTTCCTGCGACCTCTGGAGGAGGTTGACGCTGATTATGCGCGGATGGATTGGGCTTGATCTCTTTGATCAATTTCCTTTTCTTGTTTACCCTCTGTACTCTGTACCCTTTACGACCACCTGATTTCATTTATCCTGTACAAATACCCACCTCGATTCTCACCTCGAATCATCCTGTTTTATTATTCCATGTATATCACTTGAAACCTATGCCTCGCCACAAGCGTGCATACCCTGTCTTACATAGCTCGATACCGCGAAAGCTCGATTTTTCTCAATACAAACCGGTACCTTCTTTTTTGAATGTCAGCTGGTCTCTCAAAATGTAATTCTGTGTCCTGCCGTAGTATTCTTGGTTTTTATGCGCTCACCATAGTAAGCCTGATTATGCGCGATTCCGCCCTGAGGAACCCCACCTTGACGCGCTCCCCGCCCAAGTTCTCGACCTCAAAAGCATTCAGAAATATCAATTTCTTCCTTCAAAGCGGACTTGGACAATCCAAAATTTCCCCATGGATAAGCAAACCATATTCTTCGCAAGCTTCGGCTCTGTGGTCCTCGATGAGATTCGCTTTCCCAACCAAGAACCCCTCACAAATATCCTGGGCGGATCAGGAGCTTATGGTTAGTTCTATGCGCCATCTCCCAGCAAAGGAATGGATAGACCTCTGACTGAAGTACTATGTATCATTATAGCAACACTGGGCGCTCGTCTCTTTTTATCCTCCCCACTCAGTCGTTCCCTAGCTTGGCCAATTCATGTGGGAAATGACTTTCCAGACTCCATTTCAAATCTCCTACAAAGTTGGGATATCGAATTGGTCATAGAGCGGAGTCCAGATAAAGAGTCCACTCGAGGATTACTCGAATATCAGGATACTACTTTTGGACGTAAGATATGACTTTTATTGTCACCCTATCTCCATAGCGTCCCATTTCCAAGCCCTTCTATGGAAATTAAAATATTCCATGGCACTGGCACAGACACATCTTGGATATATGACCAATTACAGTATACTAACCATCCATTCTAGCCAAGAAATTCAAATACACCACTCCCCTCATTTTAACCGAAGAAGAGAAACTGCATGGCACCATCGTCCTAAGCTCGAAGTCTTTCCATTACCTTGCCAGTCCCGCAGACCTGAAACCTCGGCTTTTAAAACTCCTCGCAATTCGAGCGCAGACGGGGATATCGCATCGTCCGTTGATCATCTGGGAACCATCCCCTCTTACATCCAATCCAGATAACCTCCGAGCCAGTCTAGAGGTTGCAAAATTAGTCGACGTTTTTAGTCCAAATCACTTGGAGCTTGCTGCTACTTTCGGGGTCTTGTATTCTTCCGAGACGCAGAAATCCGAAATTGAAACATTGGCTCTAAAGGTACTCAGCAGTGGCGTTGGCCCTGATGGAAATGGAGTGGTGGTTATTCGAGCCGGTGAAAATGGCTGTCTTGTGCAGTCACGGGATGCTGGTCCTAAATGGCTTCCTCCATTTTATGAAGCAGGAATGGAAGAAGAACAGGCATCCGGAGTGGTTGACCCGACTGGAGCTGGAAATGCATTTTTAGGTGCCTTCTCCATAGGATACGTCGAAACGGGGGATGTTATTGAAGCGGCTTATTATGGGTCTGTCGCGGCATCTTTCGCGTTAGAGCAGGTAGGGATGCCGAGGAGAAGCGAAGAAGGGCAGAAAGAGCTATGGAACGGGGCCAGTGTCCGTGAGAGATTAGATGAATATAAGGCTAGACAGAAGTCCACCAACAAGTAGCGAGGGAAGTGACTGGCAAGATTCTACGGCTTGCATGGTGAGAACCATTCCTCGCATTGAGGTAATTCAAGATAAGACGAAATAGATTATATTCATAACATTATTCATAATCGTGAAAATTCTATGGGTACAGTGAGTGTTTAAGAAAAAAATAGAGCAACATCGGAACATGCTAATAAAACCAGCGGAAAGCTTCGCTGGCCGGTCCATCTTGGAGATACTCAGTCGGGATGTCCTTCGCTTTGACATGCAAGCCCTGAGCACGATCCCGTTTCTTGTTGTCCATCATCATCCAGACTCCGAGACAGATAGTCAATACAATTCCAGTACCACCAAAGCTCGCAGTGGTGATCAATGCCGGCAAATATTTCGGCGCATCTTGAGTGCGGAAGATATTGGAAGCTACAACGCCCATGAGATTAGCCACGGGGACGGCGATGCTGGTCAAAACCACACGACGACCCTCGTTGGCGATGTTGTTGTTATACCAGGCATCAAGGAGGACTGAAGGTGCGGATGTACCCTGGGAAAAAAATTAGTAAGTTGAATAGTGAAGAAATGGAAACCAGATACAACTCACCAGGTCATCATGAAAGAAGCAAAATAAGCAACGTTGATATCATTCTGCACATCAATGGTGGCGTAAATGATGAATCCGATAAAAGTAAAGAAGAAGCCCAGTGCAATGAATGGGAACCTCCATCGCGTCCAGTCGCTGCAGAATGCCAAAATGAGCAGCATGGCAGCACCTGACACATTAGGAGCAACGGTGAACAGGTTAGTCTTGACAGTACTATAGTTGAGGCGCTGAATGATCACAGGCAAAAACAACTGAACACCCTGAAGCGGGACACCGAGACAGATCTGAATAGCCAGAATCGCCCAGCTGGTCCAGTGCTTGAAAATGCGGAATGCATCGCGAATGTTGAGCTTCTCGTCGACCACGGATGAACTATCAATTTGCAATCGTAGATATGCGACCTCCTTCTCCTCAGGTGAAAGAAATGTAGCTTCGGCAGCCGATCGGGGCAGATACCACAGGGCGAAGAGGGCGAAAAGGACAGTACCGCAGCCTTCGATGAGGAATAGATATCTCCACGATGCTAGAGGTCCGGTCTCAATACGGAAGACGCCGAAGGCGAGGAGACCGGAGAATGCAGAGGCAATGCTTTGTGCCGCGTAGAAGATGGCGAGTCGGCGGGCCAGTTCTCCACGACGGTAGAAACTAGATCGGATTATGTTAGAACAATTTCATATTGGTGAACAAAGCTCATGAGGACTAACGTTGTCTGGTAATAGATAACCAGCGGGAAGAAGGCGCTCTCAGCCATACCCAAAAACCACCGAATGGCAAAAAGCCCACTGAAGTTGAATACAGCAACCACAAGAACAGTGCAGGTACCAAAGACCAGCATCATACAGGGAAGTACGATGTTGGGTCCGAACTTCTTTCCAAGAAGACCAAGGAAGGGTGCCGTGAGGACATAGGGAACAAAGAAGATACTGAGAATGAGATTGTATTGGTTTCCGTGTAGACCGAGAGTATCTATGAGGCAGAAGATTAGAATTCCATCATCAATAATCCTCTAAAAAGGATAAAACAAGAAACATACCCTCGAGTCCCGCCGTTTTGGCATTTCCCAAATTAGATTTATCGAGACTGTTGAAAAGGTACATTATAGCCAGCACGGGGAGCAAACGCAGGTCGAACTTCCAGACCAACGCACGCTCTACCCGTGAATCGATGTCCACACTAGCTATCGTAGTATGGACATCTGTTTTTTGTGGCGCTTCTTCTGACATGGCTGTAATAATTTGGAGTCAATAGAATCCAAAAGTTTCAAATTTGGAGGATAAACCCTTCCCCATATACCAAAAATTAGGCTTATCGGAGACACAACGTTCTACCCTAATGTTTCCCCAGGATGACACACCCCGACTCCGGGTAAACCATGGGAGAGCCACAGATAAGCTGTGTTCTTGGCGCAGGGCCCCCCAACTGGGGCAGATAAGCGCCTGCCAATGGGGTCCACTGAGCTCCGCCCCCGAATTATTCCTATCTTCAGTTTTTCTGACAATCCCAATCTGCTAATTAAACTTTGTACGGAGTATGGTCTCACTACTTCGTAGAAATTCTAATTACGTTAAGCTTAGCGCCGGCTATTTATCTGCCGGATGTAGGTGGCTGACCAGTAGAACTTACTTGCACTCAACGGACGATGTCCGACTGAGGCTTGAAGCGGGTTAAGTGGCGTTCCTAGATAAATTGGACACGCCTCCAGGACTCCCTTCGATGGAAGATGTAGACCGAGCTAGTGTGCGGTTATGCTAGATTTTCTACGGGAGCTGACAACAGAGTTTCTATGAAAATGGATGGCTGATATTGACAAAGTTTAAGTGGACTCGCTCATACTTAACAGTTCCTAACAAAATAACTTGAATACATATCTCCTAGTCCTAAGCAGGCGCTGCGTGCTCACTCAATCCCTGAGGAACAACAATATCCCTGAGCGCAAATGAGGTGGTAAAGTTTTTCTGCTTGACAAACCAAGCATTCACCAGCTCCCACTCCTGTTTGGGATCAGTGAATTGTATCTGTAAAGAATTGTCAGCAATATTCCATGATTTTGAAAGAAGATTGACTCACCTCGAATCTTCTCAACATGCTGGGGACAAGCTTATAAATCTCAAGGAGGCTGATATTCTTTCCAATGCATGTCCGGCTACCCATTCCAAATTGGAACATGGTACCATTCATCTCCTTGACTCGGGACTCTTCCCTTGTTTTCCAATATCTGTCTTGCAAAGCTCGTCATTATGTAGCCATCTTTCAGGTCGATACAGCTCTACATCGTCACCAAAAACACCTTTATCCATATGGATTAGCCAAGCAGAGCAACCCACAATAGTTCCGCCCTGAACAAAGTGGCCTGCAATGTCGGCCCCGCCTTCTGGTACAACCCGCTCTAGTGGCAAACCAGCAGCCGGGTGGAGTCGGAAGGCCTCTTTTATACAAGCATCGAGATATGGAAGACGTTGGCTCTCATGCCAAGTAACCAGGCCCGTTTCAGAGTCCGCAAAGGCTCCATCACGTCCAGCTTGATCGATCTCAGCCTGGAGACGTGCCAATGCCTTGGGTGTCTTAAGAAGGAAGTAAAACACCGCCGAAAGACTGATGGCTGTTGTCTCCGAGCCAGCGAATGCCATGCTCACAGCCATAGTTTGAACCAAAGTTTCACTCATAAACTCGGGATGTGATTGATGCGCAGCCATGAATTTGGACAGAAGATCTAGCGATTTTGCGCCAGCAACTGGTTTCAAATCACCATTGGCTAGCTCGGGCATGCGCTCTGCCATGCGGTTTCCCGCAAATCGTGCAACTGGGAATGTAGCATCGATGAATCCCCATTGTGAGAGTTTAAGGTAAATGGGATTTTTTAGTAGAAGTCGGTCTAGGAAAGGAATTTGTCCAATCTAGTAAAGTAAGTTAGTTAGAGAGTATGCCCGAGGTCGACTGAATAGGGAATGGGTTGTCACATACAGGAGCGACGTAGAGAAATAGCCACGACAAATAGGCAACGATACCATCAATATCCTTGTTCTTCTCCACAAAGCCATGTCTTTTGCTGTATGTGATCTCTCCAATCACATCGAAGGCATAGAACTGAAGCCATTGGGTAAAGTCACAACCTTCAGGATTGTCGACGTAGATGCTCTTCGTCTGTTCTAAAAATAGCTTGGTCGTATTGTCAACAAAAGGCTCGTACTGAACCAAAGCCGACATTGCAAAAGCCGAATTGACACATCGACGGAATCTTGCATGGAAATCATTATCTGTCGTACTGAAGAGGGACTGTAGACGATGTCCCTTTGCAATGGACTGCTGCACAACATAAAATTCAGACTGTATGCAAGCATTAACACTGATCAGAAAGTATCATTGGGCCTGGAGCAGAATGACCTACCTTGTTGAATCCTTTATTCAGACCGTAGATAGTCTTGAGGGCTTTTGGACTAGAGAAGGAAAGTGTATTCGGTCCAAGACGAACGACATCTCCATACTTCTTGTGAAGAGCTCGATGTGTAACTTCAGACCGACGGCCATACACATCAACCAGGCGCCACCAGTCTGTGATAGACGCCAGAAAGGGCCCTGGGTATCGATGAAGGCCATGCTTATATCGATTCTTGAGACCCCAGAGGAGGAGTCCACCGAAGCACACGGCTAACCAGTGCCGAGAAAGCACATGAAGAAGATAGTCTGTTATCCCATGCATGTTGAGCGCCAGGGAAGGAGATGTGTTGAACACGGAAGTGAATGATTTGCACCGTGAGAGCTTGGTGGAAGGGGTAGAATATATAGAAAGGCACTACACGGGATTTAATGCCCTCGATATCTACCGAGCTCATTATGCCTTTGACGAATCGGGCATCGCCACAACACGCCAGTCCAGGCGGATCGACATAGGTAGCTGCGCCGCCGCAGAGCCTACACCGAAAGATGGCCTAGTCAGACCCACGGGATCATGCCTGAGACTGGGTGGCCATTTCCACTCGTTGATAATGGGACCCAACCTTGTTTTGGCTTTCTTTTTGCCAGAATCAGCAGATGCACAGGAAGGGCGCAAAAGCTGGCTCGAATGCCGCACGTTCTGTCGTCATTGCTGACTGCCATGATGGGCACATAATGAATTCAGGACCAAAAAAAGCAGCTGGACCCATTTCTGTCATCGTGTCGGAAAATGCGGGGAAACTTGCTCTGGGGGAATTCCAGAGGGTGGAGATTGGAAATTGGAGAGTGGTGGGGCGTCTGCTCCCGCGACAACGGGATTTGTATACTTCGCTAACTACCGAGCCATACTGGAATTCACTCATTAGTCCAGAGGATATAGATCCTAGATTAGAATTAAAACGTAGTGTGTAAAGGTGAAATAAACAGTAAATATGGAAATGGGTGTGAGATGACCAAAAAAAGTAGGTTCAAGTTCTTAATTCTTTTTACATTTTAAAAAAGTTGCAAGTGACGAGGTTCGAACTCGCGCGAACAAATGTTCATTGGATATCTTAGGAAAGAATTCTTAAGACCAACACCTTAACCACTCGGTCACACTTGCCGGAAAAGTATCAAATTTAACCTCGCCGTGCGCCTTAGCCGCTCGGATATCTTGCCAATTGGATTTAGCTTCGTCGGCGATCGTTCAAAGCCATGGAGTTACTACTTTAACATCGTTCGGTGTCTAACAAGAAGTCGCCAAACCCAAAACTGTTTTAAGAACACCAACCCTGGAAGTAGGACTCTCGAATGCCACGTTATTATAACGGCGATTATACACTTATTTCCATTCCAACCTTAAAATACGGAAGATTTAACTCCAGAAACACAAATACGATCCCATAATACTTCTTTTCTCTATTATTTTAAGACATGAAATGATACATGGGGAGTTGAAGCATGCTCTGTACTTTCAATGCGCGGTATAAAAAATGGCCAAAATGCAATGCAGAGGTCTCAGCGAGTTCACAGCTCATCCTTGCGGGTGTCGTCTGTGGACTTAGCCTTATCCTTCCCCTTCTCCTTCTCTTTACCCTTACTCTTCTCAGCTTCGGGCTTCTTGTCCTTGCTCTTAGTCTTCTTGGAGCTGTTCTTCTTAGAAGCAACGGTCATGCGTTCGTACATGCGGTTCAAAACACGTTCAAAATCGCGCAGACGAGAATCAATGTCCACAACCGTCAAGGCTGGGTCATCGGACTGGGTAAGCGTCTCCTGAAGTGCGAGTTTTTCATCAACCCACAGCTTGGAAGAGTCGTAGATCTCGGTAAGGGTGGAGAGATCGGTAGGTGTGAAGAGGGTGTACTTGGGGCCGGTGGGCTTGGCTGCGGCAGCAGACTTGGTAGAGGTCTTTGAAGATGACGAAGAGTAGGAATCATCGTCAAGATCGTCCAGAGAACCATCGCCAGAGGCAGCTGGGGCAGGAGTGGATGAGCTGGTCTCTGTTTTTTCGGTGGAGGTGCTCGAGGCAGAGAGGGCAGAGGAGTAAGTGTCCTCGTCGGATTTGATTTGACCCTCAATCAGCTGCTTCATGGACTCGGCGTTCTTGATCATGTCTTGAAGCAACTTGATACGCGCGGGCCGATCAGTGGATTCTTTCATTCGCTTGAGTGCAGGGTCGACAATGCTCTTCAGATCCTTCAATTTAGCCTGGAAGTCTGCCGTCTTGGCGTTGTCGCTTTCTTCGTACAGCCAGTCGCTAGATGTGGATAGCTTGTCCTGCAAAATAGACAGCTGGCCCTCCTTGATGGCCGTAGCGAATTCCTCGTTGTCCACAAGATCACGGCTGCGATAAATAAATGATTCAAGCTCGTTGAGAGCTTCCTCGCGTAGGACACGTTCACGGTCTGAAGCATCGAAGGCAGATAGGCGCCCGCGGATACGGCCTAGCTCGGCAGCCGAGGGGGCCTTGGTTCCAAGAGGAATGGACTTCAGAGCAATGGGAATGATTTCGAGCTTAGTCTGGACGGTGGTTTTGCCGTTGTCTTTGGTGACGCTGGTAGTGGAAGCATCGCTTGCGGAAGTCGTTGAGGATTCAACTTCAGGCTCAAGAGTAATCGACTCACTTGCCTCGTCTTCACCGAGGGGCTGCTGATCTCCCTTCTTGGATCCAAGGCCAAAGAAGCCCTTGACATCATCGACAATGCCCTTCTTCTCTGCTTCAACCTCACAGCTGACGTTGCCACTTGTGACCTGGGGGAGACCATTGATGGGATTCAGACGGATGTTGAACTTGGCGGTGATGTTTGCAGCCGAGCAGCCAAAGCTGTCCTTGAGCTTGGCGACAGAGGCGGTGAGGTTTTGAGTCTCAACACTCAGGACGGGGAGGTTATTTCCGTCCTGACTCACTTGCTGATAGAAGCTGAAATCAAAATCATCCAGGTTCTTGACAGTAACCTGCTTCTCTGGGCCGACCTGAGAAGTAGCAGTGAACAGCTTTTGGTTTCTGTCCTTGCCGTCTGACTTCCACTGGAGAATGACAGGGTAAGAAGCAGCGTCACTAGCGCGGATCTCTTTAACACGGAAGCTAGGGCTAAGAGCAGCCCCCTTGAAAGCAGCACCAAATACAGCGGCCTCATCAGCATTAACATTGGACCGAATCTTTTTCGAAGAACCGGAGATTTTCTCCAGCTCCTTTTGGACGAATGGAGTGCGAACGGCACCACCGTGGAGAACGATGGAGTCGATATCGTTGAGCTTCAGGTTGGCAGACTCAAGGGCCCGCTCCAAAGGACCATTGATGCGAGCTGCATGACTAGCGGCCAGTTTCTCGAAGTGGGCGCGGGTGATTTTGTATTTGAAGTTGACCTCCTCATCGTAGAGCCCCTCAAAACTTGTGCTAGTGTCGCCGTTGGCGCTCAGAACCTGGCGAGCCTTCTCCGCGTCTTTCCAGAGTCTAGACATTGTCTTTCCGTGCGCCTTGACCTCCTCAACGGTGACCTTGCCCTTGAGCTTCTTTGTCTCGACAAGATTCTCAACCATGTCGTTAACAATAAGATCGTTTAAAGCGTCGCCTCCGAGCGTCTTGTCCCAGCCCGCTCCCAAAACATTGATTTCCTGAACGGTCTTGTTGTACTTTCCAACGTCCTTGACCTGGCGGCTCTGGAAGCGCAACACGCTTGCAGTGGTCGAGCCGGCTCCCATATCAAAAACAACATGGTATTCCGGCTTCTCACCATCTGAGACGCTAGGGAATGTGCGACTGGTGGCGTAGTTCAGACCAACAGCCAGCCCATCGCTGATAAGAGCTTCGATCTTCAAACCAGCCAACTCGACGGCCATGGTGAGACTCTTCTTCTCTTCCGCGGTGTAGAATGCGGGGTAGGTAATCACAACATCTCGGACATCAGATCCTTTCCCAGCCAAGAGATCCGCGTTGGACTTGACTTCCTTCAATTGCATGGCCAGAATTTCCTCGACCAAGAACGCATCCTTCCTCTCCGCCTCGCCGAGTCGGTTCGTGCGCATGGCCACGGAGCCACGGCCATCGGGAGCACTTTCAAGCTTAAGGGCTGGATACCGGCTCCAGTATTCCTTGACCGTATCATCGTTTCCATCGTTGAAGGGCAGTCCCAACAAAGTCTTGAGGTTCATGTAGACATCATCTGGGTACCGAGCCGCCAGGGCCAGCGCACCACTACCGTAGAATCGTTCGGGGAAGGGAGCATCACTTTCTTTCGTCGGCTTGAAAGCAATGGCGGCCGGTTCCTTGCGCTTTGAGTCCTTGCTAAGCACAATTTCGAGGGGAACGCCGGGCTTTACGAGCGTGGCTTTGAAGTATTCGGTACCGACATCGAGACCGAGGACAGCAGATCCGGCGGCAGAAGCTGAGCCAGCAAAGCTGAGGAGGAAGACCAGGAACGGGAGTATCGCGAGGGAGAAGAATGGAGAGGTAGGTCGCCGTTGTCGGCCCGGGAGAGCCATGGTCTATGTCTATGCTGCACACTGTGCCGAGTAAGTCAATGTCGCATTTGGAAAAGGGAATGAGTGGCTTGGGGAGTTACGCACCTTAAGGCAGCAGTGTATAAGCAAAAAATATTAGCAGAATTTAAAGCGTTCCACCAGATCGCCAAGAGGTGTGTCGGTGGAGGTTGGCCTTGCGCCAGTTGAATTGTTGGGGGTAAAAGCTATTGAATCGCGTGGGAAGTGGTGTAGGTGGTCGAATATGGTGGTGATTGGGATGTTGGAAGATGGATGGAATGAAGAATCCACAATGACTAGGCCATTCGGGCGATGAGGATGCTGTGGCCACCTGGCAAGAGAAGTTCAATGAGGCGCATCGTTGTGAGGCCACGGGTCCAGCCATGCTTGCCTTGCTTGGGTTTGCACTGTTTGTTCGGATCACGTAAGCCAGCCCTAATTCCAGGGTCTCCAGAGAGGCAGGTTTACAGATGTATAGATGCTTTTGTTTTACATCTTTTTCTATTTATTTTTAAGAAAAACGTTTAAGAAAAATCTCATAAATTAGTGAACTAAGTACACTATATCCTAAACTAAGCCGGTCAATTATACTAGTAAGGAACGTAAGTCATAATGGTGCTCATCAATCACCGCCGCCTGCCAGGGTGCAGGCCACGGGCATTAGGATAATAGCTCGGTCATCCACGCCTTTCCCTTAGAATCCAATTTTTTTTATCGTTTTGTGTTTTTTGGTGATCGGCTTTCACTTCCATTGTATGAAACTGTACGACGTCTGGAAGGAAAATTTAAATCAAGACTCAGGCGGAAATCATTAAAGCAGCGCCATAATAATGGCTAGGCCGGGGACCAGTCCGGCCAGGGACATCTTGTATTGAGAGGAGGCAGCATTAAAAGCAGGAGAAGTAGTAGCCGCCGGGGCCGGGGCAGTCGCAGTGACCGGCGAAGAGGGTGCTGCGGTGGTTGACTCCACTGGAGAAACCTCGGGGGCAGGAGAGGTAGGCTCGGGAGCAGGGCTTGAGGGAGGAACAATCACCGAGTTGGTTGTAGGCTGAACGCAGCCCTCAGTGCAAGTGACGACGGAAGTGATGGTCAAAGTGCTAGTCTGAGTAATTGGCTGGGTATATGTGGACGTTCCGCTGGTGACAGTGGCCCAAGTGACTGGAAAAATTAGCAATTGTTGATCGCATAGAGCTCCTATCAGTGTAGACTTACTCGGGCAGGTAGTGGTGGTATAAGTGGTAGTAATGGTTGTAGGCAGAGGGGGGAGGAGTAGTAGTCTCGGTCTCACATGGGGTCGAGGTCTCTGGGGGGAGGGGTGGCCGCGGTAGTGGTTTCACAGGGAGTGGAAGACTCAGGAGGGGGAGTAGTGGTGGTCTCGCATGGAGTAGTAGAAGACTCAGGAGGGGCAGTAGTCGTCGTCTCACACGGAGTAGTAGTAGTGGTGGTGGTCTCGCAAGGAGTAGTAGAAGACTCAGGAGGGGGAGTAGTGGTGGTCTCGCATGGAGTAGTAGAAGACTCAGGAGGGGGAGTAGTCGTCGTCTCACATGGAGTAGTAGTGGTGGTGGTGGTCTCGCATGGAGTAGTAGAAGACTCAGGAGGGGGAGTAGTCGTCGTCTCACATGGAGTAGTAGTGGTGGTGGTGGTCTCGCATGGAGTAGTAGAAGACTCAGGAGGGGGAGTAGTCGTCGTCTCGCATGGAGTAGTAGTAGTGGTGGTGGTCTCGCATGGGGTAGTAGAAGACTCAGGAGGGGGAGTAGTCGTCGTCTCACATGGAGTAGTAGTGGTGGTGGTGGTGGTCTCGCATGGAGTAGTAGAAGACTCAGGAGGGGGAGTAGTCGTCGTCTCACATGGAGTAGTAGTAGTGGTGGTGGTCTCGCACGGAGTAGTCGAGGTCTCCGGTGGAGGAGTAGTGGTAGTCTCACATGGAGTAGTCGAGGTCTCCGGGGGAGGAGTAGTGGTAGTGGTCTCACATGGGGTAGTCGAGGTCTCCGGTGGAGGAGTAGTGGTAGTCTCACATGGAGTAGTCGAAGTCTCCGGTGGAGGAGTAGTGGTAGTCTCACATGGAGTAGTCGAAGTCTCCGGGGGAGGAGTAGTGGTAGTGGTCTCACATGGGGTAGTCGAGGTCTCCGGGGGAGGGGTGGTGGTAGTCTCGCACGGAGTCGAGGTCGGAGGAGGAGTAGTCGTAGTCTCGCATGGCGTCGACTCTTCACCACCACCGCCTCCTCCATGGCCAGGGTAGCCACCACCACCGTGGTCACCGTCACCACCACCATGACCGCCGTCACCACCACCATGGCCACCATCACCACCACCATGACCAGGGTAACCACCATCACCACCACCATGACCAGGGTAACCACCATCACCACCTCCATGACCACCCTCATCACCACCACCGCCGCCACCGCGGATAGCGAGGCCCATGTCACCATTGGCATCTCGGGGCAGAACGCTACCCGAGGCCATGGTGACGGCACAGAGGACGAGAATTGGAATTCCACGCATATTGCTTAGCAGACAAACGAGGGAATGCTAGATGATATATTGAACAATCACTTGAATGGCCTGATCCGATGAACGAAGGACGATAAGGAACCGTAGCGAAAGAGTTCCTATCACGGATTGATCTCAAAACCAGAAAATCTGAGCAAAGAAGGCGAGGATTCGGGTTGAATTTATATCCACAGCCTCATATGGTGGGAAAGGATTCCTGCCTCGCACATAACCCACATCCCACAGCTCATGGCGCAGGTGCAGCAGCTAGTCCATGGCAGGACCCTGGCCCGGGGGCGGGTCTGTCTCTGATGACTGACATCAGGTGCTATCCAAGATCGGTAGATAATTGGAGCCGTCATCTCGATTTGTCAAATAGAGAGTCAGAAAGTGGTACCCAACGGTACTAGGCTAAAAGAGGCACCTCTCGGCTTGCATGATTCACCAAAATTGGCATGCATTTGCCATCTGCGTGGGCAGAGTTTCCGTGTCTTTCATGTCAAAGCCGACTCGCGATGTACATTGAACTGGGTCTCAATGCAGGGCCAAAGTTAGTGCCAGGCCCCCGACCCGGTTGGCTCAGCGACATATAGCCGGGGTACGACCAATGGCTGGTTCTTTCGAGATGAGCCTGCCTTCTGGTTCGCTTGATGTAGAACTAGGATGCACGTCGCCAAACTCAAAGCGTTCGAAAGGGCCGACTCTTGAGCGGAACCGATCGAGGTTGACCCACTGCCCCCCAATCATGCATGACGACCTTGGCAGATGCTGCGAGGCGGGAACAGAACTGATAGATAGCTCACTCGGTTGGGGCTGATGGGGGCTGGAGGAACAGGGGCCCCGGGTTTGTGGCCCTCTCCCTGATGCATTGTGCAGTGAGGCTTTTTTTGCTTCTTTCCCTCTATTTGTTTATTCTGTACGGAGTACGGAATACCCCTGCCATCTTGCTGCTCTCCCCGATCGGCGAGGGTTGAAGTCGTTCCCCGCCCACTTCGTTGTCCCCTCGTTCGGATAAGAATTCTACGTCATGAGACCCTAGGGGATGTCAATTGCTGCTTAGTCGTTGGGTGCTCGGACAGCGGTCTCACTATAATAATCCAGATTTAGATACGCCGTTGTGGGTTTGTGTATATTTCTGGAGTACCCATGGAACCCTGTGGCAGGTCTCATTTGTTGTTGATGGGTGAGCACTAAATGTGGGGAAACCTCACGAATAAGGAATGAGACGGCAACTCTGCTGTCCCCAATACCAAGGTTCATACCGCTAAACTAGCGTGCTCTGGAAAACTCGTAAGGCGGAGAAAAGAGAGACTTGGAATCTCGGGAAGCCCACCCGGAGAAAAGTTGATGTCTGTGCATTAGCCGGTTGGCCCATTTGGCATTCCCCTTCTTGTTGTTTTCTTGAGGTGTCTGCAACTGTATCTGCGCCTACTTCGTGCACTTTCAGGGCCCTGGGGGTGGCTGGTCACTAATGAGCCAAAGTACCTGGATGTACGAAGTTTGTACTCTCGGCCACGAGTCCCTGCAGCCCCAGTCACTTTTACCATCCCTCTGCCACGACAAATATTGTATGGGGCAGAGCATGAATTTGCATAGATCGACAGAGCTAAGCAGCGATACCCGGGAGTCAATTGAGTCTGCCCTGATTGTGGCCCCTGCAAGTAACGTTACATGACAGAGACCAAGCAGGGCCTCGACTACAGGATATACATACAGTACACACATACGGGGTCAAGGCCATCGAGGCCATCGAGGTCAGGAAGCTGCAGGCCCGAGTGGGCCGGGTTACTGGGAGGTGGCACAGTGCGCTGGCACTAATGCTTGAGCAGGGTTATTTCCGAGCGGCCCCAGCGATTGGTGCGATACCAGCTATGGGCATCTCATGATGTCACGTTAATTCCATGTTGCTGGCCATGCTGCTTTTCTCTGGTTTTTTTTCCCACTCGATGCTTGGTCCCTGCTTGGCCGACGTGGTTGACATGTCTCGGAGTTCGTGTCCCATGGTTGCCCCCAGGTCCCTCCCAGGTCCCTCTCCTCGTCACAATAAACAAAAATTCTTTTAGCTACTTCGATGTGTTTTATTTGTTTTGCCTTTCCGGTGGCTGTTAGTATTGTTTTTGTTTTCGTATGCATACTCCGTATTGCCAATCGGTCTGGAGCGCCCGCAATCCCCGCACTGATAAATTGTATGTAGGGAGGTTGGTACGGCCTTACGATGCCCAGACGGATCACATAGGGTTCAACGGTGAACCGACTTCCGAATGAGATCGTCAACTGCCGGAAAGAGTGGAAGTGGAGGCATTTCGAGAGGGGGTCAGCTCTTCGCCCAGGGCAACGGAGAAAGCACCGTCTCACTCAGATTGTCTTGAGCCCTTCAAAATTTTGCGCCACACTCAAATGACAGTTACCCGTTCGCCGAGTGATAGTAATAATGGACAGTGAACCACCGGTTATGATCAATTATAGAAACGGTGGCGTCGGTGAACCACATTGTCTACTCTGAAAGTAACATTCTACGAATAGCTGGGAGGCGCTGTGAGACTTCGTATCGTGACTTTGAGGGCTTTGATCAGGCGGAGAACTTGCAGTCGACGGACGCCGGACGCCCTTCCAGAATCCAGAATTCCGTCGATGGTGGCATTGGCTGGAGGTAATTTCGATGTGTCCAAGAGAGGGTCCGCCCGCGCTCTAACGCAGAAGGTTCTGGATCCATAATCATTGCAGGGAAAGCGGTCGTCACCGTCGAAGATTTAATTTCTCTCACTTCCCCAAATAGGCAGGATGAAGTCAACAAGTTTAGGCTCGTTCTGCTCCTGTCTAGTCCTCTTCGTCGTCGGATCCACTGCTCCAACCGGTCTCATAGCATTCCCGGATCTCACCCAGCCCATTAACCAGATTTTCTCGTTCATCCACCGATAACATTCGTGCAGCCGTACTTTCAATTGCCTTGACTCTGTCTGCCGTCCGGGTGGAAGCGGTCAATGCGGCTAAGACACTTACCCCGGCATTTGACGAGGATTTGGGGTACATTCCGTGCGGGAAACTGTCGAGGATGGGCAGATGGAGTGGGGTTCGGTAGCTAAGACAAATTTAATTAATCCTTTACGGTTAAAAAAAAAAGAGAAAAACAAGATATCAGGGATATCAGGGATGGGGGTCCCTACCTCTGAAGCATCGACTCCGAGTTATACAGTCGCAGTTTTCGCAAACGCCCAGAGTCCCCGTCGGTAGGCTCGGTGGATTGTCCGAAGTCGTTCCCACGTAAGACCTGGACTTGATTGAAGATATGGTGAGACTTGCCCTTTTCTCCATCGTACGTGAAGTCAATGTCGAATTCGGTTTTTGCTTTCGGGGTTTCATCGTCGTTGGCACCTGAATTTTCATTTTCAGGGTTGATGGTCGATTGGAGCTCGAAGATATTATGCCTTCCGTCGTCGCCCGCAAGCGAGGCCTCAAAATCGTGATAGGGCCGCAGTCGAGAGGGCAGTGTGACTGTCTCAAGTGCAGAGCTTAACAATGCCGTGGTTTGCCACTCCGACTGCCGATCGACTTGGATCGAGCGGGGAAGCTTCTGCGGAATGTCTATGACAGGTACATACAGAGTCGACTGTGGCGAGATCGAGCAAAGTGACTTCGCTTTGTTCGTATCCCTTTTGAGTTGCCGATGCTGTGAACTCGGTCAGAGAAAGCCATTGTCGTACTTTGGAGAGATTTTCAGCATACCCGTTGCACCTTGGTGCCATCTTCCATGGCCCAAACCCAGACACTTTTCTTGCCGTATTCATCTCTAATGCGGTCAATGTAGCGAGCAGTAAAGCCACCCCAGGCGTCATCTGAGGTCGAGAAGATTTGAATGGCGCGCATCTGATCACATTCTTCGGCAAATGGTCTTAGGTCTCTGTCCAAGAGGTCATGTTCTTTGTCAAGATCATGGAAGAGCTCTTCGCCGACATTCCAGTCTTCAAAGGGCATTATCTGTGAGTTCAACTCATATTCATTTAATTGGACGATTGAACGTGGATGGTAGAATACTCTGTTGTAATCCGACCAGTACCGCACCGTGTCTGAGGTTAGTTGTGGTGCTGAGATGCCCTGATCTAAGCTTTTTTGATAGTCACTTTGTGGGATAGGGGCCTGTTTCTGAACGACCTCTTTTCCATCCCTAGCATATCAAGTCAATTATCCGCCCCATACATCGTGTGGGGTTAAACATACCAGAGGCCTTGGTCTGCTACCGAGTCTTCGGTCAGCTCGTACAGTGCATTATATTTGCGCAGAGTACCAAATCCACCCTTGAGGTCATAGATGACTGTCCGAGGGGTGTATGTTTCTGAGCCATCGGCGCCATATCCTGGTCGAAAATGCACATCATGGTCAACAGGGGTTTCTTCAGTATCGTTGTATGTGAAATATGATTCCTATACCAATATATTAGAATATATTATCACGGAATGCAAGGAGAGGTTCAAATCAAAAAGAAATCACCTGAAGATTCCAGAAATGGGTGGCCAAGTAGTTCGCCCGCTGACCCAGCTGAAGAGTGACAACCTCATGCATGACTGCTCGATCACTTGTCTATTCTTCCTGTTCAACAAAGTATCAAGTGGTCAACCGAGTTCCGCTTCGATATGCCCGCACAGACAAGTCACGAGCGAACCATCCCACGAGGCTAGTCCACTTTAGGAGCGGAGCCCTCCACGTGATGCTGGGCCTCGTGACCCGATGCTAGTCTCAATAAGGGAAGGCACGACGGTGTCCACGGCAACGGTCACCTGACTTGTCCCAAGAGGGCAATAAACACAGTAATGTGATAATGTGGGTGCGTCACTTCAACGGTGATTTTCCTCTCAACTAACCCACCTGCGACGCCCTCATGACCCTTTGACATCCATTGTCCTAATACCCCCTCGACTGCATCCGCGATGGACTCTCCAACGCGTCCAGTCCTCAGTCCCACCAAGGTCCTACACCCGGTATCGCCGGAACGCATGAATCAACAAACAATTCCCGCCTCGCCCTCCCTCCCTACCGATCTTCTATCTTTGCACCACAAAAATACGAGGGGTGTTTCGGAAGTCCAAGCGAAAGTGGCCTTCTTAAACAATCTTTCTCGTCAGGCCAGCCCGGCGGCTCAGGCGCAGGCCGCTGCCCAAAATGCCGCCTTACAGAGGGCCATCCTCGGTCGCGAAGAGGCCGAGTCTACCCTGGAATCAGTCCAGGAAGAATTGTCTGAAGCACAGTCTCGTGAACGTCGCATCAGTGAGAGACTTGAATCTCTTATGGAAGAATTGCACGGTGCCAAAGAGCGCCAGGCCCACGAACGCTCAATTTTCGAAAAAGAGATTCGGAAGGCTCGCAAGGAAGCATTTCGAGCGGGGTCTACTTTGGTGAGACTGCAGGAGGAACTGAAGCACGCAAAGTCCGAAGCCAAGGTCCTGAAAGATGAAGTCGCGGCGCAACGCGAGTCAAAGGATACTGCCAGGCAAGAGGCCTTTGAGCGCGCATATGCTCTCGCGGGACTTACTGAGGAGCTCGAAGTTCTCAAGGGCAAGCTTCGCTCTATGGAAGCCTCCAACCACTCCAATACCCTTCAAGTTCGGGCTCACGAAATCCGTAAGGAGGATTTCGGCAGACTATCGCTCGCCGAGGGGGACCTCGCGTTCCTGACAACCCCGCGTCGGCCGAAACGCGCCGCCGCTGGTTCCGTGAAATCTCCAGCACCCGAACTCGAATCCCTCGATGTCGAAGCCACGCCTCCAAAAAGACAGCGACTGTCCGAGTGTACCACTACTGCGGGGGATGATCAAGTCGCCCCAGAGAACGATTCGTCGGAATCTTACAACGAGGCGCTAGAGGAGTTGCAAGATGAGCTAGAGCTCGAGCGTCGTCGGAGATCTGAAGCCGAAGAGATGGTACATTTTATGAACATCGAGTGTCAGTTCGAGCGATGTTCCTGCCGGATCGCCGAAACACAGGGCCGCCGGTACATCTACGACGAGGACTACTACGAAAAGTTCCAGAAGGCGCAGTTGGAGGTACAAGCAGCAGCGGCAGCGAAGGCAGAGACAGAGGCACAGGCACAGGCACAGGAGGACGCAGCTCGCCAAGCCCAAGCTTGTGTGGAGGTTGCCCCTCCTGTCCCAGTCCACGCCGAACCCATTCATAGCGATGTCCAATCCAGCTACACGCCCAGCGTTGAGCCCCCCTACTCCCACCAACCACCACATCCAACATACCCCGGTCCGCCAACAACCCGAACTCCCAGCCAAGACAATCAAGACTGAACCGACCGACCCGCCCGAAAAGATGCCTATGCCCGCTGAGCCGCTGGTCACATTCTCTCCCGAGACGGGAACGTTTACGACGTATCCGTCACCGCTGCGAGATAACGTCAAGGCTCGTCGAACCGACTCGTTCGCCTCTCCGGGAATGAGGCACTCCAATGCTAATTCCAATTCCCACCGCGACTGGTGTAACTCCGCAATTTCGGCAGCCTCCTCGATTCACCAAGTCGAATCTCACACCCCAACTGCAGAGCCCGTTCCTTCGCGGATGATCCACATTGCGCCTTCTGAAACCGCTGCAGTTGAGCCCGTGCCCGCTCCGGAACCCATGGATGTAAGACCCTCCCGACGTCAGGAACGAGAGGAGTATCAGCCTCACCAGTCGATGACGAAAAGAATTCCGCTCCGTGAAGCGACCGAATCACAGGGTTCTTCTGGGCTTGTTCATGATACTCCTATCAACCGGGAGGAAGCATTGGCTCAAATCAGGGCGAGACGCAGCCGTGCTCGCAGTAAGCAACGGTCCGTTAGCGCAAATGAAGCTACTGGACGGTCTGCTGGGTCTACTGGAAGCGTTAAGTCGACTCCTGGCCGAACCGCCAAGCGTGTTCCGAATCTGCGCGCTGATTCGAGAGGTGAGAACGATGTGAATGAACGTCGGGACCTCAGTGCCCCTGTTCGCATGTTCCGACGTTAATACTCGAGTCAAGGAGACTCACGTATTTGAATTTGTGTGGCTTGATTGTTAAGCCGGTTCTTGTCTTTTCCCAAAATACCCCGGCGCTGGTGCATAATGTTTCTCTCTTCGCATTTTCTCGGTTGCAATGCATTCTTTCTGATTCAGTTATGCCTTCGCTCTTTTGCATTAAGCCCCCCCCCCCCACGACGATTTTGGTTTTATGATTCCAGCTATGGCGTTTGAGTGTCAGTTTACTGGGCTTGCATCTCTTGGTTTATCCTTCACTAGGATTTGGTTTTCTTTTCTTCTTTTTTCGGGATGCCTTGCACATCAATCTGACCCTCCCTATGCCATTTCCTTTGTCTGATTCTGATTGGAGCTTCTTGTACATACACACATACGCCTTTAATCTTTTTTGATGAATATTCTACCAGCTTTGGAACGTAACCGCGTCTAAGGTGCTCCATAGCCCAAAAAACCCAGTATTTCTGCTAAGGCAACGTCCCAAAATCACTAGTGTTCCTATTCAATTTGGACACAGACTATGAACATTTACCTTTAAATTTCTGATTCCGACTACTGAAAATATCTACGCTTTTGGTTGTCGAGTGACTTCCAAGAATATCCTCGAGACCAGCGGAGATGATGATCATGAGCTCATCGTTATGATAGGAGCAACAATGACGATTGGGTGTCGGAATCTAGAGCATCGCTGTGCCTACCGCAATTTAGCCATGCATAGACAGAAGTAGGACAGTGCTAGTACAGTTTGGTAGCTCCCCAAGTCCAGGTCCCTGGGCTACTCAGCAGGAGTTCTAGCCATTCAGAAACTTGGTTTTATTCCATCGACTCTTGCGTTCCACGTTGTCCGCCCGGCGCCTTCGCTTGCGCTTCCATCGAATCCAGCATTTGTAACTTCTTGGACATGACAGACTAGTCATTTCGTTTGTCTTGAGGCGACGATGCGGGGGAGGGACGTGTCACTTGTGGTCCATGCCCGAAATGTCCAGACTCCAGAATATCAGAGTATCCAACAGTTGGAGACGGCTCGGCTCGGTTTTCAAGGAGGTCCAGGCGCGCAGGATTGGCTGCCACTGGGCCTGCCAAGATGGCCAGACTTGAAGCCAAGAAGAAATGGACCAGCCGCATAGTTATCGAGGCAACGGGCGAGTGGAGGATCCGGTTCGGTTTCTTCGAAATATAGTATTGCTCTTAAATGAAAAATTCAAGTTGAAGAGTCGAATATCCTTGATGGTCACACTGAAATGGTAGTGGTTGTTGTTCCTCCCTTGCTTGGGCTAAACAAATAAGGACAGGTATAGGGGCAGGAGGTGCTTCTTATAAGGATGATGCCGATCGTTATCGTGTTCTGGCTCTGATTGGTGTTGAGGGGAGCCAGTAGCAGTATGAAACAGTTTGCTGGATCTAAGTGATTGGTTACACAGATCGTCGGGGTACATAAATAGTACGGGTACTATGTGTGATATTCCTGCAGATTTAATCAGATCAATCATGGAACCTATGTAAACTTGAACTAGCCCTCAAAAATAACATTGGGTGTTGCTCTACTCCGTACCTCGTAGTACTAGACGGCGCTCCATAGCTGAAATCCACCCAGTGTTTCAGCGTCCCAAAATTTACTAGTGTTTCCTATAAGGCTCTGCTACCCCTCTGTGAAACTATTCTATCTAGGTACTACCTCTATAAAAAATTGCTTGATCCTAGCAATTCAGGGTACTGAGTGTATAACTGGGTAGGATACCAGGTAATATAATGCTTACATCTCCAATACTGGCTAGGTATCTACACCACTCACTAACATACTAGCGCTAACTAAGTGCTTCCTGGCCCTGGCTAAAGGTATTCTGAAGCTATTTACACAATAAAATAATCTGTGTCTGAATTTTTTAGGGAAGACTAGTAACTTTTGGAATGCTGAAACACTGGGTCGATTGAAGCTAGGGAACGCCGTAGCGAGCCCCCTCCTCCCAAAAAACAGTGAGATTCGATAGATGTGGTTCATCGCGATTCACATATTTTATACTACTAGTACATTTATGAAGTTTGTTTCGACAGCATTTTATCTTTCCACCAACGCGCAATTTGCCCAGTTTGCAAAAATTCAACCTCGCCCTCACGCTCCCACTCTTTCAACCAACTCAAAGTCCGTTCCAGCATACCAATGACATGAGCCATGCCACTAGTATCCGGATGCATGAGAATTGGGAATACAGGTTCCTCTTCATTATCCCGAATCCACAAGAATCGGTCCCGCCAGAGATTCTCGATCACACGTACATCAACATAGCCTTGCGAGTTTTCAGTGTGCGGAAGGAACTGCATTGGTGTCATGTCTTCCATATAGTAATTGCACGGTACACAGACAAGAGGGCGTCTGTCCGGCAAAGTTGGCGATTCCTTGACCGGATGCATCCATGTCGAGGCAGACTTGGAGAAATCAATAGGTTGCAGCGGTGGGCGTCGTGGTGCGAAAAATGGATGGCAGTCATGATCCGTCAGAGAGGCATCTACATAATTCAACGGTTAGTTTGTATATAAGAAGATAGTCGAGCGACATACCGTATTCAAAGCCGAATTCCTCAAGGAGATCAAGTGTTGACTCGCGCAGCTGATAGAGTGGCGCGCGATAGCCGACTGGTTTCTTTCCGGTCAGGTTTTGAGCGATCTCCATGCATCGAACAAGCACGTCGCGCTCTTGCTCCGGGGTGAGCTGATAAGCACCCTCGTGCGCGTAGCCGTGCAGGCCAACCTCACACCCCGAAGCAACAACCTGCTTTACCTCCCCGGGGAAACTCTCGGCAGAGTGTCCGGGAATGAACCAAGTACAACGCTCGGAAAGATCCAACTTCTTCAGCATGCGAAGCAGGCGGGGAACACCGACTCGAGCGGCGAAGAACCCAGCTGAGTAGTCAGCCAAATTATTGTCTGGATGGGAATCTGGAAGCGAAAGACATCGTTAGTATACTTGTATTCGACGAGCATTGACAATGAAAATACCTACTTGTTCCGAGCCAGCCTGAAACTGCATCCAAATCAATCGAAACAGCTACGCGAATTTTATTGCGCTTCGGCTTCGGCAGTGATCTGGGAATCGACGTTGTAGACCCCCTTTTGACAACATATTCCGAAGGTTGGGTTGTACTGGCAATCGGATCTTGCTTGCCTCGCTCAACCCGAATGCATTGTCCAGAGATGTGGCCGGCTGCACGCTTCGAGGCAAGGAAAGCCATAGTTCGTGCTACATCAGCTGGCTCGGGGCCTTGCTGCCCATTAATAACGATACCAGGAGCAACAGCATTGATGCGTCCTTCGGCATCGAGACGGAGTATTTCGTCACGAACACTGTTGAGCAAGCCATAGTGAAGGCCAGCTTTTCCCGCATCAAGTCCCGACCCATTTTCTGTCTCAGTAACAACAATTGCGGGGCTTGTAAGTTGGGTCCCCGAGGTTTGTTGGGCTTCGTGTATAGATCGAAGGAAGTGTTTGATGACCAGGAAGGAGCCCTGAACATTTGTCTGATAATTCTTCTTCCAGTCATCTAATGACAACTCCCAGATGGGAACTTTCACCGTCGAGTCTTCAGCAGCAGAGTTGACAATCAATACATTTGCTGGTCCAAATTTTTCTTGGGCATTCGAGAATCCAGACTTGACGGATTCCTCATTGGTAACATCCCCATTCAAGAGGTGGAGCCTCGAGAATCTTTCTGCATCGATTCCGGAAAGCTGGAGTGGCTGACTATCGTAGGCTGTGACAAGACATCCATGATCTAAGAGTGGGTGTTAGCCCTTTCTGTTAAATGAAAAGAAACTGAAATCTATTCCACAACAGTATACTACAATACGATAAAATGTCCAAGTATAGTAGGGACTAGGAAATCCTGGGGCGAAATGCAATTGCTAAAGTCAAGCCAGAGTAGGGCACCCACCTAAGAATTCTCTCACAGCTTCGCCTCCAATGGCACCACTGGCTCCAGTGATGAAGACATGGCACTTTTCCAACCCCAAAAAGGAGCGACGAGACAGCGACTCGGAAGACATTAGATCGATAATTCATTGGCGAGATGCCGGTGTGTATCAGGTTTACTCTGTACGGAGTACAATATCTCAAATGCTCAGCCTTAGCCTAGTAATTACCCCTCCAGGTTGACGAAGCGAACGCCGATCTTTTGCAGGACCAATCCTCCTGCCACTTGAAGAAGGATCTGCACTCAAAATGCCGTTCACCACGTGGCGATAGAGCGAGTCAGGCAAGACTGATGTACAGGGTGATCAGCGAAGGATTCGCCTGCAGAGTGCCGAATTTCTGGACCGAGGCGGGGTGTTCTCCTGCGATGCAGTAGAGAAAGGGATGTAGTAGTTCCGGTGTAACCGTGAACTTCCGTTATCCCCACCGCTTTCTATCGAGAAAATAAAGAGCCACAGAGAAAAATCCCGACTGTATACTATTGCAATGGAAAGCGCCTTCCGGGCTTAGAGGGGTAAACTTGGAAAATACTGGATTTTTACTCCGTACTCCGTAGTGGGTTCGGCGTTCTCAAATTGCCTTTCGGGGATCGGGCTCCAGTGGGCTCTGGACACATCTTCAACGATTCCGTTGTCCGTGCGCCTGTTGTCCAGCCTTTGGCATTATGGCCGATTGTCTTGAATAGCAATCAAGCTTCAATAGTTCTCGGGGATTCAAACCTGCCGAGAATAGAAAGAACCAGGTTCTCTTGGGGATTGTGGGATTAAGCTTCCATCGATTGACCAAGCGAAATGCCTTGCCAGGTGCTATCGCTCAACAGAATGTATTTTCAGCAGAAGTGACTTTGAAGCACCTGCTCGGGTGGAAAGAAAGGCAGCGACGTCCTTGAAAATAATTGTTAGGACTTTCCTGCGTTGCACAAGAGCATTGGATTCTTACAAATTCTCTTTGGTTGCCAGTGGTTAGAGTAGTGAACGGCGTGAGGGAAGTTGTTTATAATAATGGCATATACCACTACTCGTAGTACGTCG